TTTTAGTACAGTATTATTAATCGGTAATCATTGCTGGGAAGTCCATTTAACACACTTTAACTTAGAGGAATCTACAGGAATAGTTGCATTATAATTAGTTATTATTAATGTACTATGTCTTAGCTTACAAACCATGAAATCACTAGAAGCATGTCTTAAAGAAATCACAACTTTGACATCACAAGAAATCTTAAATTCAACTTCTAACGTCTAAATAAAATATTAAGTATCAGTACAGTATTGGGTAATAAGGCAGCATCGGTAGTGGTCAAAATACTGGTGTTAATATACAGTACCTCAATGTTTAATTCACACTCGAGTGAAAATTTCCATGGAAGAACAGATGGTTGAGCACATTTCCATTCACCTGATGCTCTGTTCACCTTGCAGTAAATAGTTTCCCTTGAGTTAGGAAACTGTTATTTTGGGTTGCATCCTAGGAAAGGTTAGTAGTTGGCCTAGGAGTATCTTAAAAACGCTAATGAGCTTCCCATCCCTGACAATGGAAAACTGTTGAAATCATTAGTAGGAATACTAATTTAAGGTACTGTATGTTATCATAGTAGCTGCCAAGGCTACTATGGTTGAGCAACCATATGCAGGCGATGAGTCACAATAACGTGGCTAAAGTATGTTGACCAGACCACACACTAGAAAGTGAAGGGACGACAACATTTCGGTCCATCCTGGACCATTCTCAAGTCGATTGTGAAAGCAACCACTGTATGATCCTGGATAGACTCTCTTCCAATTAACCTCATTTAGTGGCTATTCACATGGAAGTAGTCAAATAATGAAGCTCCTATAATATACTTTAAGCATGTGAAAGGCTTCTGTGCAAAATTATTCTACTACTCCCATGCTCTCTTTCCTCCCTGTACTTAGTGTGCTTATATAAAAGTGGTATGCACGTGGGGTGAATGGGTCCATGAAGGGTTCTACAAGGGTTCTTTAATCTTTTTAGAATTAATGCCACATGTTTTGCTCCTGGATTGCCATGATACTGTTAAAGTTCATGTATTGCTATACCTATGGAGGTGGCAGAATAACTTTGCCTGGAAAGGAACTTTCCACAAGCTCTTAGTAAGTATTGTATGTTTAAAGATATTTTCCATGTTATTGTAAACAAATCTTTTGGATGTCCTAAGCCAAAATTGGTGTACATTCTTACACCTGTGGTAAGTTGCATTGACTTTGTTTAAGTGTATTGTAGTTCATCCATATTTGTAAGGTTTCATTTAAGTGCTTTTTCTGAGAACAGTTCATCCCTAACTAAATATATCAAGAATACCAGACTTATTTCAAACATGACATGTGCTGAAGGATTATTTATGATGCACTGCATAGTATTTGGAGTGATGTAGTTCCTGTGGTGTCTGATTTTACACTTACTATACTGTTCAGTCTTTTAATTCTGTTTTTAATTTCCAATCAAGCTGTCAATGCAATCAATCAGAGCTTTAATATACCAATGTGCTTTAATATACCTACTAATCTCTCTCATCTCATTTTTTTTTCTTTCTTGCAATGTATGTTATTTTATTAATTCCGCTAGAATTTACCTACTTAAAATTATCTGTTAGATTAAGGACCTGCCCGAAACGCTGCACGTACTAGTGGTTTTACAAGATTATAAATTACCATTCTATTTATTCTCACAAACTCAATGTACCTTCTTGTTTATAAATAAATAAATTTTGTTAGGTTGGAGGTTCATGGACACAAGAGGCCATTGATGGTAGAGGAATGTTGGGGTGCTGGCCATTGGACCACTCCCTTACTGTTCTTTCTACCATACTTAGTCCAGTTAATGCCAGAGAAGACTTTCTACATCACCTTCAACAAACTGCACTGCCAGGTGCAAGTGACGGAGAGACAGGTTCCAGTGAAGACAAGACTGGTGATAATGTGTGGGTGGTTGTTGACAGCTGTGGTGAAGAGGAGGAGAACCCAGCACAGCTGTGGTCACTCTTAAGTGAGAATGATGTTGTTCAGGTTGGTCACTTAGAAATGAAGATTTTATTTTTATGTTTGTTTTGTTTATTCATTTATGTTTATCTCCACTTTCAACTGTTTCTAGTGTGAAATGTTGAGAGATTCACTTAAATACTTGTATATTACCTCAATATTTTTTTCATTCTAAGCATAAGGTAGGAATAATTTCCATTCATAGGAGCATGTTACAGTATACATGTTCACCATCTGCACTTTGTATATTCTGCAGACAACATGATAGTTTCTGTACATACATTCATGGGTAGAGTGCAGGTGTTTCTAGTGCCTCAGGCCCCAAGTGTGAACTGTGATACATCTTGAGCAACAGCTGCACTCTCATGCCTATAGTGCACCACTGGAGAAAGACATTATATGTTGGTATACCTTTAACTCTGTTTCAGTGCAATACTCTCCTTTCACACACCCTCAAGTCTCTTCTTTTTACCCTTTGTTTTGTAAACTCATTTGGTTCTTATTTGCATCCTAACTTCATTTCTCCTTTTCTACTTTTTTATTTACCACTTTCCTTCTGATTGTCTCAACTATTACATAATATTTAAAGGCTTTAAAATATTGTCATGATTTTCATAATGGCTGTGGCACTAAGGAGAATTTAAGAGAATGATTCAGAATGGAGTGTTTCACTGATCAACCCCATATTTTTAAAGAATTTCAGATCATGGGTGTATTTGGATGTAGTTTTCAAATTTGTTTGTGCTTGACTGTATATGCATATTGTATTACTGTATAGACAAATATATTAAATTTATCATAAAACACTAACATTTCCAATAATACACTAATCAGTATAAATTTTCATAAATTTGTTCCTAGATAAGTACAGCATTTTATATAGGTATTTTTTATATGTACTGTATGCTCCACTGTTACCTATTACAGTACTGTACCTAATATTTCCTTTATTAAACAAATATAAACTCAGTTTTTATATATTAAAGTAACTTTTGTAATCCTTGTTTTTTTCAGATCCTAAACCAAGTACCTTTCAAAAATATTTTTCAACACATACTGTTGGTGGAGGAAGAAAATGGGAAGCTGCGCTACAGTGTGTCTCACACAAGTCACCACGGCTGCATGAAGCTCTTTGCGTTTGCTACTCGATTGATTCAGCTTTTTCGAAGAGGATTGGCTACATATTCCCAGGTCAGCATTATCACCATATTCCTTGGTTAGTGCTGAGTTAGTGATTAGTGCCAACCACTTGAGCTGGACGGTAGAGCGACGGTCTCGCGTCATGCAGGTCGGCGTTCAATCCCCGACCGTCCAAGTAGTTGGGTACCATTCCTCTCCCCCCATCCCATCCCAAATCCTCATCCTGATCCCTTCCAAGTGCTATATAGTCGTGATGGCTTGGTATTTTCCCCTGATAACTCCTTCCTTCCTGGATAGTGCTTTGCATATATTTTTGGGACACATTTATTCAAACTAACTAGATTAGAACCAAGGTATTACTGCTTCAGGGATGATAATTTTGCTCTTTTACATACTAAAGATATATTGTAAGTGCATGTGCACATTACTGTGTTTTGTGAAATAAATTAGTAGCGTGTAATTTCAAAATAATTTTTATATAAAGGAAAGTCGTGAAATTAGTTTTATTTAAATTGAAATAGATTTCCTGTATCGCGAAAAAATTATTTAATAAAAATTTGATATCTTTATAACTTAAATGCTTAGTATTTTCTGTGTCATTTTTGTATTCAAAATTTTTTATACGAATATATTTTAAATTTGCACTCTCATACGTCTGTATGGCTTCTACAGTCTTTCTTAACTCTCATGCCAACTTTTTCTTTCACCATATTACTTGCCTAACATATTTTTATCTCTAATTTTATGTAATGTATATCAGCTGAGGTATCGTGGTGTAACAAAGCGCATTTGTCGACTACTACGTCACACCATGCAATATGTTACCGATCACTGGCAGAGCTTCCTTTCTGCACACCAGGACGCACCAAGCCAGAGCTCAACCGCATCACAAACAACAGTCCATTTGGCTTCATTACAGGTTATTGCATTATACAGTATTTGTTTTGGATAAGAAGCCAGTGTGTTGGCTTCCTATTCTTCTAACACTTGTAAAATAGTCATGTCACCTATAGTAATTGATTTTAGGCCTAAATTCCTTATGTTAGATTTATTAGAAAAAGTGTCTACAGAAAGCCTTGTATGTACAGTATTGTATTATTGTTACAGAATTGCAAAGTTATCCAAAGATACAAGTTTGGGAATGCTCAGACATTCCTTGAGAAAGGGCTAGGTACTGATTAGTGAAATCTGAATTCGCCTGATGGTAGAACCTTCATTAATACATGCAAAGGTTGCAGCCATGAGGTATGCACTACCTACAACCGAGTAAAATAACCCCCAAAATTATATATATATTACTATGTTGGGAAAATTAATTTTCTTACCAGAGCTCATTATTTTCCTTGTGTTCATCACTAGCTTGAAGCTTCAGGGATTTTATTCCTAGCAGTTATATCTTTTCCTATAAATTCTACCAAATTCATGTTAAATATAATGCCTAAGAACAGCAGTAACAAGTGGGCAAGAAGTAACTGCATAACTGTTGCTTTAAAATTTGAATTTCATTGTAAGTTTGATAAGGGTTAATCTTTTGCAAAAATTGCAGAATACAGTATAACAGGTGAAAAGTACGTTTAGTGATATAAAAGAACAGAAATAAATACTTATGAAGTTTGTGAGTATAGTACTACAGTGTTTTGCCTCAGGTAAGATGTGTTCTTGGAAGGCATTGTGTTAAATATTGACAATTGAATACAGATGTGCTCAGTGACTGCCACATGTGGGGAAGGTGAGGCAGATTTGACTAGCCTTGACCCACACCCACTCACTGCATCACACAATGCAAGGTTATAAAAGATATTTCTTCTTTTGACATAATTAAGCTATTTATCACTTCTATACAGATGATGAAATGTTTTAATTATCTGCAAACATTTACATGTGCGAACTCACTTCTTCTGGTAGGTCATTTACATTAATTATAAACTGCAACAGTGCTAGGAATTTACCCCATTAGACCTGACTATTCACTCCTCTTCAGACTGGGGTATCCTCTGACTGTGACCTTATGTTTCATTCCTGATTTACCTGAGGGCCACTAACTTTAGTGGCCTCGACGAGGACAGGAAGCCTGCAGCTTGTCGAAGGTGCCCTTGATTTTTTTCTAGGTATATTTTAAAACTCAACATAGTTTAGGCAGTTACGGCTTTGGTGGGTAGGCGGTTCTATGGGTTAATAACCCTGTAGGTGAAAAGCATCTTGTGTTCTCAGTCCTACATTGTGGCTTGTTGAGCTTGAAACCATTGCTCCTTATTTGTGTTACATCTGACCTTCTGAAGAAAATATCCGGATCAACATCCTCTAGCTTGTTAAAAGTTTCAGTGAGATCCGACCTGTAATGCCTGGTTTGCAGTGTTGCTCTGTGGCCTTCAAGCATTCCTGATACAAGAGATGACTTAGTCGTGGAATTACTTTTGTTGCCTGGTGTTGCACCTTCTCCAGAGCAGCTATGTCCTGAAAATGAGGTCTTCATACTTGGATACAGTAATTCAAATGGGGCACACCAGAGATTTATACAGTTGAACCATTACCTTCTTTTCCTTATAGTCAAAATTATGCTCGAGTATCCCTAGAGTTTGGTTAGCTTTTCTGACTGCTGCACCCCGCCTGTTGTGCAACTATTAATGTGTGGTGGACTTGACTCCAAAGTACTTTTCTTCATCAATCTGCTGTAATATAATGTAATGGTATTAATTTGGTACTCGTGGCATGGGTTGTTATGCCCCACATGCACGGTCTTGCATTTGTTAATATTAAATAGCATTTGCCAGTCTTCTGACTATTTGTGGAGTTCATGTAGATCTCTTTGTAAGGCTTCAATATCGTTATCATTTCCCACTTTACCATAAATCTTAGTGTCATCAGCAAATTTGATGAAGTGGTTTGTAATATTCTCATCTATCATTGATGTATATGATAAAATGGAAGGGCCCCAAAATGGAACCCCCTGAGGCACCCCACTTATCACATTTCTCCATTCACATTTGTTTCCATTTAGCATGGCCCTTTGTTTTCTATCCTTCAACCATTGCTTTATCCATTCTAATATTTTACCATTTATTCCATGGACCTGTAATTTCCTTGCCAGTCTTTCATGTGGTACCTTATCAATAGCTTTAGTAAAATCCATGTACCTGTATATTACATCCACCAGAAGGCCTGAGTAGTGGGTTACCTTTTCCAAAAATGTGAGCAAATTTGTAAGGCAAGATCTGTTTTTAACTAATCCACGTTGTGTCGATAAAATATAAATATACAGTATGTATATATATATATATATATATATATATATATATATATATATATATATATATATATATATATATTTATTTATTTATTTTAATTATTACTTTTATTTTATTTTTTGTAGAGTAATATATATATAATGTGTAATACAGGTGGAATATGACCAGTTGTTCGAGAAAGCTGTAGACAGCATATTCAGCAGCCCACGTTCAGGTGCATGGCAGTTCCTGGCTGTCATCCCCTATGGCAGTGTATCTCTCTCACGGTTAGTGAAAGTTGCTTGTTTTATGGTGATGAGATTACCAGGTTAGGAGGAGGAAGGAGGTTAGGGGGGCCTGACAGCTGAGTGGACAGCGCTCGGGATTCTTAGTAATAAGGTTCCGGGTTCGATCCTCGACGGAGGCAGAAACAGATGGGCAGTTTTTCATCCAGATGTCCCTGTTACCTTGCAGTAAATAGGTACCTGGGAGTTAGACAGCTGCTACGGGCTGCTTCCTGGGGATGTGTAACAAAAAGGAGGCCTGGTCAAGGACTGGGCCGTGGGGATGCTAAGCCCTGAAGTCATCTCAAGGTACAGTAACCTCAACAAGATGAGCATTTTCCTCTTTATAATTGTTTAATAATGTAGTACTGCATTAAATGGCATCACTATTACTCCATATCTCTCTTATAGCACTTGGCCTATACTGGGAGAAGTTTGCAATATGTGCCATCTTAATGTCACCACCTTGGGCACAGGGCATGTAAGGCTGTTCGTGCCACTGAGGGCTGGACATGGGGGTGGCTTTTGAGGTCATTGGGGTCATTTGAGCATCAGAGCCATGTATTGATGGTAGAGGTAACCCTTCATAACCTGACTGCTCTTTGGTGCCTGCCATATGATAAAATGTATTATTATAATGGCCAATCCATGCAATTCAATACAAAAAGTAATACATTATTATGGGTCCTGTAATCCAAGGGTTAATTGTTCACTGAATTTTGACTGGAAAGTTCATGCTCTTATGAATGTTCTGCTGGAAGTAGGGAGAAGTAATAATCCGAGTTGATGATATACATCAGTTTATTTTCCTGGTCACCATTTCACTTGGTATTTAAATGCTTCAAAAGCACATTGCCGTGAGGGGATTTTGTTTTGATAAACTATTGATAAGTTCTCAAAAAATCATGTCATGTTGGTAACAAACTTGATGAAAGTTATTGATTGAAGCATCACTCTTTGGGTTGCTTTTCAGGTTGTGGAAGATTGTCTACAAGCTTCACACAGGTATGAGAGAGGAATCACTCGGTACTGCATGTAAGGAGAGTGCTGGGAACCTGACGAATAGTGACTGGGCAGATTTAGTAACTCACAGTGACACTCGTGGTCAGTTTTATGATTGTCTCCTGAAAATGGAGGAAAATGAATCATTTTATCTCCTTTCTGCTTTGGCAAACATGACTGCTGCACGTGAAGCATCAGAAAAAGAATTTATTAAGGTATCCTTTTGTTGTTTTTTCTTATTAATTATTACAATTTTATAATAGTTAATTGTTTTAAATAATAAAACTTCCTCACTTAAGTTGTTTCATGGAGTCATATCTTACAGGTGGTAATAAAGAACATATTTGAAGCAACATTTGTGAATGAGGGAACAAGAGAAGAACTTAGCCGGAATGGTCGAGATCTGTTATCAACAATTGCAGCTAAACATCCATCATCCATTTCATTTTTGCTGACAGCAACTCAGGTATTTCTGTGAGAACTGCCAGTTTGCATGTCATATTTTAGGTCTTTCTTTAAAATATGTTTTTGATATTGTTTTAATAAATATTAGAAGCAAGGAATCTGTAAATGGCTTTCTTTATTTAATTTGAAGAATTGCAAAACTTTAATTGAATTTAATACACAGTATTCTTAATAACACACAAGAGGATATTTTATGTATTTTCTCCATTCATACCTTTTCATGCCATCTTTAACACTACATTTAGTTACTTGTCTGGGGTTGCTTCCAAGAGCTTATGCATGGGTACCCCAAGATTAAATTCAACATGCCCATCATCTTGGTACCTGGAGAGGGTTCTGGGAGTTCTTCTGCGCATTGAGCCTGGCCTGAGGCCAGGATCGACTTGTGATAACTTGGTCCATCAGGCCCACATATCCACTACAGCCTGGTTGGTATGGCATTTCTTGTAAGAACTTATCTAAGTGCCTCTTGAATAAATCCAACTTTGTTCCAGCAATATTTCTAATGCTTGCTGGGAGGGTTTTGAACAGCTGTGGACCTCTGATGTTCAGTGTTCTCTGATTGTGCCTAGGGCACCTCTACTCTTCACTGGTTCTATTCTGCATTTCCCTCCATATCTTTTGTTCCAGTACTGTATGTTGTTATTCTACTTTGCAAATTTGGGACCTGGCCTTCAAGTATCTTCTGTGTATATATTTGTTACCTTTCTTGTCTCCTTTCCAAAGAGTACATTTTGAGAGCTTTGAGACGTCCCAATAATTTAATGTTTTATCATTTCTATGCGTGCTGTATATGTTCTCTGTATTCCCTCTAATTCAGAGATCTCTCCTGCTCTGAAAGGGAAAGTGAGTACTGAGCAATACTCAAGACAGGACAGCACCAGTGATTTAAATCGTATTAGCATTGCTGTGGGGTCTCTGGATTTGAAAGTTATCATAATCCATCCTATCATTTTCCTGGCCGCCGCTATATTTGTTTGGTTATGTTCACTAAATGTCAGGACGTCAGACATCATAATTCCCAGATCTTTTACTTGTTGCTTTTTTTCTGTGAATAGGTTTGATTGTGTTCTGTACCCTGTATTTCGTTTAACTTCCTCGTTTCCACCATGCCTAAGTACCAGTACCTGGAACTTGTCACCGTTAAACATCATGTTATTTTCAGTTGCCCAGTTAAAGACTTTATTAATATCTGCCTGCATTTTTTCAGTGTCTTCTACAGAAGAAATTTTCATGCTGATTTTTGTATCATCTGCAAAGAATGACACGAATCTGTTACTAGTATTTTTGTTATATCCGAGATCAGAATAAGAAATAGTAGCAGTGAAAGAACTGTGCTCTGGGGTACAGAGCTTTTCACTGCACTTGGGCTTGATCATATTTGATTGACCATCACCCTCTGCATTCTGTTTGGCAGAAAGTTCAAAATCCAATGCCCCACTTTACCCGTTATTCCTTTTGATCTCATTTTATGGGCTATCACTTTATGGGCTTTTATGTGTAAGGTGGCTCCAGTGCCCATCATCTGGGTAGGGGGCTCTAGTGCCTCAACTGGGTAGGGAGTCCAGTGCCCATCATCTGGGTAGGGAGTCCAGTGCCCATCATCTTGGTAGGGGGCCCCCAGTGTCCATCATCTAGGTAACCTGTCTTCAGTACCCATCATCAGGTTTGGGGCCCCGGTGCATTGCTTTGGCCTGCAATGCTGTTAAGACAGCCTTGCTATGTGCAGTAATTCAAAAAGATCACTGTAAACTGATCTTATAAAAGTTGTTAGGTGCAGCAGTGGATGGCTGCTGAAGTGTGGTAGTGCTTGTATACCCTTCATGCTATATATTATAGAGGATTCAATGAATGGTTCAGTGACAGTTATATTACAGGTATTTAATATCTATAACCTCCTTTTGTTTTTTATTCCCCTATTTCTCCAGGCTGATGCCTCTGCATCCCATGAAAGTGGGAAATGTGGTGGTTGATGATGCATTTATTGCCTTCAAACTTTATTACAGGAAAAGATCACTAGCGTGGGGGGTATGGCACTTTATTTGTTTCGTGCTTTACCTCTGGAGATGTGGGAGCCTGACAGTGATGATGTTACATGTGTGTCCCATTGGCTGCTCTTCATGCCAGCAGCCAGCGTTGAGAATCAGTTAGCACGAATTATTCTCAGCAAACTTAATTGGGGAGAGAATGAGCTTAAGACTCAACTTAGTCTTCCACAAGAATTGCATCGTAAGGTAAGTATGCTTCTTCACAAACATTGGTTGTTCTGTGTTAACCCTTGAGGTGCACACCTGTTTATATGGTGCAACCTCCAGGTTTACATAAACAAAATTCTAACAGATGTTGTTTCCTTCTAATGTTGATAAAATACATTCTCTGATCTCGGGAAAAATAATGAAAAAAGTTGTGTGTGACTTTGGCCATGGTGAAGCCTGGAAGTCTCGCAATGATGTCACAGTTCATAAGCTTTCATCGGTAGTCACCGCGGGACAGTTGCCCCAGGCCAGCTGTCGGGTGGGAGTTGCTGCGAAGATAGTTTTTACATATTTCAATATGTCTGATTAGTTTTTTCTGTTTTTTGTTTTCCAGTAATATATTCAATAATATGTTGTTAGAAATTTATAACTAGTAATAAAATGTGTGTAACATTGGTATGTTCAAATATATTCATGTTGCTTAGATGCACACTATATTATTTGTTTAGAACAATAAAACATTCTGTTTTTAGTACTATTGTACTGTATGTGCATTGTATAACTGTGAACATTTTCATGCATGATTACATGTCTGTTGTGGTGATCTCATAATGCAGTCAGGGCTCAGCCTAGCTCCGTATGTTCTGTGTGAATTTTTAACTGGATGCATTAAATATACAATATAATATTTTCTCAGTGTTTCTAATGTTTTACTGTGGTTTTCTCAAGTGCTGTGATATAATGGGCTGCCAGTAATAATGTGTATCACAGAACATGTAGATACACACAGATATATTCATGTTACTAAGATGCATACTATATAATTTGCTTAGAACAATAAAAGATTCTGTTTTCTGGGGGGAGCCCCTACGGCTTCCCGGAGCTATCCATATCAGCCTGGATAGCTCCCGGGAGCCTCTGGGACTCGCTCAGAAAATGGCATTTCAGTACATTCATTACTGTTTTTTTGCTGTTATTACACTATATACAAACTTTGTCTGTAACTATATACATTTTCATGCACAATTATGAACCACTAAGCCAGTTTGGTGGGGTATAGTAATGACCAAAGACAGCATAGCTCCACACACACATTATCACTAGACACTGGCAGCAGATGACACAATGTGATGAAGCAGAATGTATTACAATATACTACGGACATCAATAATTCTAGGCGCAGTGTTTGCTACTATTATCAGGATCCTGATAACAATAGTGTGTACTGTAATTTTACAAATTTGTGTAATAAAATGTGTGGAGCATTGCTATACTCAAATAGGTGTGCATATTAGTGACAAGATTATTATATTCTTAGGTCAAGAAAACAGTGCTTTTGGTGTCATTACACTGCATATACACTATGTATGTAACTATCTACATTTTTGTGCACCTTAACGACCCACTAAGCTGGTCTGATGAACCCACATGCACACAACATAGCATCAACACACTTGTCAGCTGTTTGACTTAATGCCTCCTTTATAACATGCCTATCACTAACTCTAGGCATAATGTTGTTATCAGCATCCTGGTCCGTAAATCCTGAATATAAATCAGTTTGCACTAGTTTATTTTCTAAAGGAGCATGAGGTCGTTTCATGATGCATAGATACATCAGTGGCAGGTGCTATGGCTGTCTGTATCACACTGAACATCATAAACAACATTGTGTTCATTAATATTCGAACATTGTATGCAGCTTTTATTAGTCAGGATCTTTTGTATTATCATCACAAAATAATGGCAGTTACTTGTATACTTCATAATTAAGTGATGCTGTGGATACAAGCAGAGCAGCGGTGCTGTTAGCTCAAGCTGTATGCACCAGCCGTATTTGGTTGCTCACTCAGTACTGATACCTTCACACCCAAGAACAGTGTTTATGATTTTTTTTTCAAAATGGTGTCTGTTTACTGGAGGCCTGAGAAAATCAATGTGAGCCCCGTGTATCTGAGGGTGTTTTAAAATCTTATGCTGCACCCTAATATTTTCCTTGACAGGATGCACACTTGAGCATAATTAGCCACTCAGTCACCTAATTGGATACACAGCCGAAGGGTTAATCAAATATCTTAAAAATTCTCAGTAGAATGTTTTCATAATGAATTTTCAAAACAAACTTTTGCATACAGGTTGCAATAACAGTATTGGAGGCACACATTAAGATTTGTTGTGATATGTATTCTGGAAGTTTGCTGACGGAAGGAGTGAAGCAAGTCACATCAGTTATGTACTCACCATCTCCAGAGCAGGTTAGAACTGTTAAGTTAATGTATTACTTAGCTCAATGTTTCAACTTTAAATGAAGTTAACTTATTGGCTATGTTTCTGGTGTCTATTGTAAGTTGGTACATACTGAAGTATTATATATTTTAAAATTAGTAATTCAGATTGACAGTCATGTTTAATTCATTATATAAGAGGTAATGTATTCCACCAAATGATAAACTTCAAGTGCTTTTGCAGGTTTTCTTTGATTGGTCGTGGGAGATGCTTTCCTGTCTTCGACTACACCGTCTGGACCAACCTGAGGCACAAGTTCGTGCTACTCTGGCCTCTCCTTCATTACTCCTTGAGGGCATGCCAGATCCTACATCAGTAGCTATAACACAAGGGTCAGTATTGTTATACATACTTTGCTTGGATATTTTTATACAACAGTTTTTATAAATTTACTAAGTATAAACCACTTTATATAATCAGTATAATCCTTAATACTTAATATAATACTTAAACCACTAAGTATAATCAGAGTAGTTAACAAATGGAATGCATTAGGCAGTGATGTGGTGGAGGCTGACTCCATACACAGTTTCAAGTGTAGATATGATAGAGCCCAGTAGGCTCAGGAATCTGTACACCAGTTAATTGACAGTTGAGAGGCGGACCAAACAGCCAAAGCTCAACCCCCGCAAGCACAACTAGGTGAGTACCTGGCTGGTTTTGTAGGAAAGCAACCCATTCCTCCACGACTCGGCAGACTCGAGCCAGGGTCAGTGCTCTGGAGAATGAGTACACTTGAAGAGAGTTTTGATGAGGGCATAAGGCAAAGAGAACAAGCTAGCAGAGCCTAAAAGTTTGTCTTGCCGTGGCCAGCCCTTCGAAGGGACGTTCACAGTGGAATTAGAGATAATAGATATTAAATAGATACACTGTACATCAATAATTTCATCTGTATTATTAAATAAAAGCCATAAAATATCATTGTAATCTTTTTACAGGTCATTGATGAATGTTGTAAAACGTGGCATTATGGATAAAAACCCACTGGCTCTCTTCTCTGCTTTGCTCTTAACTACCTGGGGACACTCCTTGCCTGAGGTTAGCGGTTAAATGTTTCAAATGGTCTACGGAAGGACAAAATAATTGTGTATTGAATTTCATATGAACTTGTGTATATCACCTTCCTGGTAATTTTTTGTCAAAATGAACATGCTGTATGTTGTATTGTAATTTGCATTTTAATTTTCTTTCTTTTGTTTTATTTTAGTTTTGTGAGCAAGGTATAGAGTGCATACACGAGCTGGTGGCTCAGGGCAGGTATGAAGCTGCTATATCTGCTCTGGGACACATTATGCCACTTTTCTTCTCGCAGCTTGAAGACATCACCTCCAGTACCAGGTCAGATCCTTTGTAGTGGTGTTCACAGTTACAAGGGAGTCAGAGCATATGGGAAGTGATGACAGTTTAAATATGGTGTGCTGCAATAGTAGTCTTGACTGATATTGTTCCAGGGTGGACCCAAATGCCATCACTTGTTTCTTGTGTATGGGTTTATTAGTAATTTATTCCAGCCATATTATTGCAAATTTATTTCATTGTTGCAGTAGTAGCAAATCTGTTAATTGTTACATATAAGGATGTGTGAGTATAGTCTAACTTTGCAGAAGTAGTTGTACAGTAGTGGTATTGTTGTTGCATACAAGGACTGTGCATGTACTCTACCTTTTCTCTGACTTTTACATTGTTTTATGTCATAATCATCCTGTAATTTGTTGTGCATTTTGCAAAACCTTACCATATGAACACACTTTTCTTGCATCCTGCTGTATATATAAAAACTTGTTTGTACAGTATCATTATTTATTAACTTTCTGAATTATTCAACTATGATGCTCACTTAAGGCAAGATCACTGAAGGTCCAATTGGATAGGATCACGACAATCATGGCAGGGTGACACACTGCAATGTGGAAAGAGTGATCTTTTCATGGGGCAACAGTTGCAAGCTCAACATGCCACAATGTAGGATAGAAAGCAAGAGATGCTTTTCACCCATAGGGTTTACAGACTTACGGATTCATGTACCCACCTAAGCTGTAAATGCCAAGGCATTGTTCCAGTTCAAAATATCCTCAGGCACACTGAGGTGTGGGGACATATTCTTTCCAATGTCTGTGTGGTTTATTTGGATACTGAGTTTTCTCAGTACCCAAATGAACCACTGTTTTCTCATTGTGCAAATGCCACCAGTGCTGAATAGTCTGTCTTTATCTAACTTATCAATTCCCCTGAGGATTTTGTGAGTGGTAATTATGTCTCCCCTAACTCTTCTGTCCTCCAGTAATATGAGGTTCAATTCATGTAGACTTTTCTCGTAACTCATATCTCATATGTCTGGGACTAATCAAGTGGCATATCTTTGAACATCCTGCAACATAGACTAGACTAGAGTAGACATGGACTAGAAATAGACTTCACACTGGAGCCTCATATTCCAGGATTGGCCTAACGTATATGACATACAACGTTCTGAATGATTCCTTATGCAAATTTCTTAAGGCTGTTCTTATGTTAGCCATTCGTGCATATGCCGCTGATGATATCCTTTTGATGTGGACTTCAGAAGACAGGTTCAGGGTGACGTCAACTCCTAGATCCTTCTCTCTAATCATTTCCTGAATGATTACATCTCCTATTTGGTAATATCTGGCCTCTGCCTCTTCCAGCACCTAATTTCATTACTTTACATGTACGTCAAGAGCCATTTGTTGAACCATTCTTTCAGTTTGTCCAGATCATCTTGTAGACTTGCTGTCATTCTCTGTCTTAATTCTCCTCATAATTTTTGCATTTTCAGTAAAATTGAGAAGAATTACTCTTATTTGCTCTGTAAGATCATTTACATATGTGAGAAACAGAATAGATCCAAGAACTGAACCATGTGGGATGCCGCTTGAGACATCACATCATTCTGAAATCTTGCCCCCCAGAGTAACTCGGTTTTCTATATTGCTTAGGTAATCTCATACCCACTGGAACACCTTGCCTTCACAACTCCCTTCTTCTCCAACTTAAGCACTAGACTTGTATGGGGTACTGTGTCAAAAGCTTTCTGTCAATCTAAAAATTTCTTTCTTGTTTAATTTTTGTTGCCTCTTCATAGATTTTTATTAAATCTGTGAGGCATGATTTACTATCCTAAACCTGTGCTCGTGGTTTGTTACAAAAGTTCCTTCTCTCAAGATGTTCAGTTTTCTCCATCACCTTGCATGGTTTGCAAGCTTGGGACACTGTCCTCCTGTCTGTCTCCTTTCTTGAACATTGGGACTACATTAGCTGTCTTCCAACTTTTTGGCAGTTTTGTTGGTTTAAAAACCCCTGACATAATGGTTTAAAAAGTTCCTTGTTGCCACGTCCAGTGGTTGAGCTCTTTGTGATTCTGTGCCCCCATCAGGTTCTTTCTTTTTCCAGTCTATCTTTTCATTGTTGAAGTCTCCCGTGATTAGAAGTCAGGATCTGTTCTTACAGGTGACAGTGGCTGCCCCTTCTGTTATAGCAATAATTGTCATGTTTCTCTCATATGCTTGTTGGGGTCTTGTCATTTACTGGAGGGTTATATATCACTGCTACTGCTATATTTTGCCCTCCTATTGTCATGGTAGGGAACCGGTCGGCCAAGCGGACAGCACACTGGACTTGTGATCCTGTGGTCCCGGGTTCAATCCCGGGAGCCGGTGAGAAACAATGGGCAGAGTTTCTTTCACCCTATGCCCCTGTTACCTAGCAGTAAAATAGGTACCTGGGTGTTAGTCAGCTGTCACGGGCTGCTTCCTGGGGGTGGAGGCCTGGTCGAGGACTGGGCCACGGGGACACTAAAGCCCCGAAATCATCTCAAGATAACCTCAAGATGGTGCCTGTTATATAGTCTCTGAGCCCTTCACAGCCCAGGATATCTATCTCCTTGAAACTCCAGCCCTTTCTTATCAGCAGGGCTGCTGCTGCTCCCATCCCATCTCTTTCTTTACTTATTACATTGTAGTCCTAGGAAAACACTGCATACATTAACACGCCAGTTTCATTTCCAATGAATTCTATTACAACTGAGTTATCTTCTCGTGATCTTTCCCCAATTTCACTTGCTTTATTTGTGATCCTATCTATGTTTGAGTATGTTACTTTGAAGAAAACGTTCTTCTATCCAGTCTCGCTTTCCCTTAGCATCAATTCCATTGGGTTGGAAGTTGTATGATACGGGGTAGGGAGGACATGGCTGCCCTGCGATCATGGGACAAAGGGGGGGGGGAGGGAGGGCTTGGGTTGGTAGGGCAGTAAAAGTCTGGGATGCGGGGCAGGGAGTGTCTGGGATGGGGGGAGCAGGGAACATCTGGGATAAGTGGAGCAGGGAACATCTGGGATGGAGGGGAAGGGTAGGGAAGGTCTGAGATGGGGGGGGGGGGAGTAGGGAACATCTGGGATGGGGGGAGGGTAGGAAAGGTCTGGGATGGGGGAGGGCAGGGAAGGTCTGGGATAGGGGATTGAGAGGGTCCAGGATGGGAGAGGCAGTGAGGACCTGGGATGGAGGAGCAGGGAGGGGGTCTATGAGTTAGGAGGCATGAGTGGTGTTTGAGGAAGGAGGATTGTTGGGATGATGGGTGATCTAGTCTTCTGTTCCACTTCTCTCTGGGGTTGTGTGCCTGCTGATAAACGGTTCCCCATTCTCGTCTGAAGTTACTGAGCTAAGACCTGTGGTTTTGCAATTTCATTCCCTCACTTTGTGTGTATGTTGTCTGTAAGTATAAGCAGGTGTGTGTGTGTGTGCATGTAAATTTATGTATATGTGTATGTATATATATTGTTTGTTTATACAGTTTTATAGACTTGTTTCTGTAATACTGTACTATATTGGACAGTATTTAAAGCATTTTCATGTTATCAAAAACTGACCTGCGTTAATTTCTGATCAAGCAGGTTAATGCTTGCCATACAAAAATGTTTGACTGCAGACCACACCTATATTACTATGGCAAAGAGTCTTGTGGCTACCACCTTCCCTGGGAAGATTCTCAATGCATTTGCTGCTATGATAGTATATCACATACAAAATTACACAAGGTAAATCTTCAGCAGTTTTAAATACATAATATATATATATATATATATATATATATATATATATATATATATATATATATATATATATATATATATATATATATATGTCGTACCTAGTAGCCAGAACGCACTTCTCAGCCTACTATGCAAGGCCCGATTTGCCTAATAAGCCAAGTTTTCCTGAATTAATATATTTTCTCTATTTTTTTTCTTATGAAATGATAAAACTACCCATTTCATTATGTATGAGGTCAATTTTTTTTTATTGGAGTCAAAATTAACTTAGATATATGGCCGAACCTAACCAACCCTACCTAACCTAACCTAACCTATCTTTATAGGTTAGGTTAGGTTAGGTAGCCAAAAAAGTTAGGTTAGGTTAGGTTAGGTAGGTTAGGTAGTCGAAAAACTATTAATTCATGAAAACTCGGCTTATTCGGCAAATTGGGCCTTGCATAGTAGGCTGAGAAGTGCGTTCTGGCTACTAGGTACGACATATATATATACACACACACACACACACACACACACACACACACACACACACACACACACACACACACACACACACACACACACACACACACACACACACACACACACACACACACACACACACACACACACACACACACACACACACACACACACACACACACACACACACACACACACACACACACACACACTCTCTCTCTCTCTCTCTCTCTCTCTCTCTCTCTCTCTAGGTCAGAAAGAGCTGTAGAAGAAGCTAAAGTAGTAGATAAAATTGTTGGCCTCGTGGAAGGTCTTACAAACAGAGAGAATGTGTGCGACTACAGGAGAATAGGCAGGTACGTAAAAGGGAAAGATCGACCTTTGAGGATCACCCTAAACGGTGCCAAACAGATGGAAGAAGTACTAAGGAATGCTAGAAAATTGCAAAGGGATGAGGATGGGAAAGGGTGGTCATTAAGACGAGATCTTTCAAAAGAAGATAGAGAGAAGCTGAAACTGAACCTCGCCGAGGCAAAACATTTAAATGAGAGCAGGAATGAAGAAGAAATAAATTCTTTTTTCTACAAAGTGATAGGGGTAGGCAAACCAGTAAAGTGGTACATAAAGGCAAACCAACAAAATCAATAGAGAGAGGGGGAGTGAAGAATAAGGAGAGGGGGAACAAGTTCCTGAAGATTGCATACACCAACATAGATGGAGTGAGATCGAAGATACTGGAGTTAAGTGATGTAATACAGCTGCAGACACCAGACATTGTTGCACTCACGGAGACAAAACTTGAAGATGTAATTTTAAATGAGGTCATATTCCCAAGGGGCTACTCAATTTGGAGACGGGACAGAAAAATTAGGAAAGGCGGTGGCGTTGCTGTGCTGGTAAAAGAACACCTAAAGGTGAAGGAAATAATGACTGCCAATCCACAAGAAGTTGACATAATAGCACTAGAGATCTGCTATGAGGATGATAAACTAATGATGATAAATGCATATAGTCCACCGCCAAGCAGCACATGGTCAAAGGAGGAGCTAGATAGTAAACGTGAAGGTCTTATAACAATAATGAGAGAGATTATAGCGAGAGCGGATAACGATAGATCACGACTGTTGATAGTCGGTGACTTCAACTTGAAATCCATAGACTGGGAAGCATATGAAGCTAAAACAGAAGATTTTTGGACCTGTAAATTTGTAGACCTCATCCTGGAAACATTCTTGTATCAACATGTTAAACAAGCTACGAGGATGAGGGAAGGGGACGTTCCCTCCATGCTAGATTTGATATTTACCAGGAAGGAGGAAGAGATATTTGACATTCAGTACCTTCCTCCCTTGGGTAAAAGTGACCATGTCTTTTTGGGAATAAAGTATGCAATGCGTTATAAGCTGGAAGAAAATAAGGAGGTTGAAGCAGTTGAAAAACCAGACTTCAGGAGAGGACATTATGGTGACCTTAGAAATTTTTTTAGTGAGTATAATTGGACAGACTTGATGCTAGGCAAGGAAGTGAATGAGATGTATGGCAAGTTTTGTGAAATATATGATAAAGGCACAAAAAAATTTATACCAAAACAGAGATGCAGAACTAGGAAACAGGATTGGTTCAATAGAAATTGCGAGAGGGCTAGAGACCGAAAGACACAAAAATGGAATCAATACAGGAAGAGGCCGAACCCCCAAACATACCAGCGATACAAAGAGGCGAGAAACAACTACACGGCAGTGAGGAGAGAGGCAGAAAGAAATTTTGAAAAAGGGATTGCGGACAAATGTAAAACAGAACCAGGTCTATTCTATAAATTCATAAACAACAAATTGCAGGTAAAGGATAATATTCAGAGGTTGAAAATGGGAAATAGATTCACGGAAGATGAAAAGGAAATGTGTGAAACACTAAACGAAAAGTTCCAAAGTGTGTTTGTACAAAATGAAATCTTTAGGGAACCAGATACAATAAGAATTCCAGAGAACAACATAGAACACATAGAGGTGTCTAGAGACGAAGTGGAAAAAATGCTCAAGGAGCTCGATAAGAACAAAGCAGCTGGCCCAGATGGCGTTTCACCATGGGTTCTGAGAGAATGTGCATCTGAGCTCAGCATTCCACTTCACCTGATCTTTCAGGCATCCCTGTGTACAGGAATCGTAGCAGACGGGTGGAAACAGGCTAACATAGTTCCAATCTACAAAAGTGGCAGCAGGGAAGACCCCCTCAATTATAGACCTGTATCATTAACAAGTGTAATAGTGAAAGTATTGGAAAAACTAATCAAAACTAAATGGGTAGAACACCTAGAGAGAAATGATATAATATCAGACAGACAGTATGGTTTTCGATCTGGAAGATCCTGTGTATCGAATTTACTCAGTTTCTATGATCGGGCCACAGAGATATTACAGGAAAGAGATGGCTGGGTTGACTGCATCTATCTGGACCTAAAAAAGGCTTTCGACAGAGTTCCACATAAGAGGTTGTTCTGGAAACTGGAAAATATTGGAGGGGTGACAGGTAAGCTTCTATCATGGATGAAAAATTTTCTGACTGATAGAAAAATGAGGGCAGTAATCAGAGGCAATGTATCGGAATGGAGAAATGTCACAAGTGGAGTACCACAGGGTTCAGTTCTTGCACCAGTGATGTTTATTGTGTACATAAATGATCTACCAGTTGGTATACAGAATTATATGAACATGTTTGCTGATGATGCTAAGATAATAGGAAGGATAAGAAATTTAGATGATTGTCATGCCCTTCAAGAAGACCTGGACAAAATAAGTATATGGAGCACCACTTGGCAAATGGAATTTAATGTTAATAAATGTCATGTTATGGAATGTGGAATAGGAGAACATAGACCCCACACAACCTATATATTATGTGAGAAATCTTTAAAGAATTCTGATAAAGAAAGAGATCTAGGAGTGGTTCTAGATAGAAAACTATCACCTGAGGACCACATTAAGAATATTGTGCAAGGAGCCTATGCAATGCTTTCTAACTTCAGAATTGCATTTAAATACATGGATGGCGATATACTAAAGAAGTTGTTCATGACTTTTGTTAGGCCAAAGCTAGAATATGCAGCTGTTGTGTGGTGCCCATATCTTAAGAAGCACATCAACAAACTGGAAAAGGTGCAAAGACATGCTACTAAGTGGCTCCCAGAACTGAAGGGCAAGAGCTACGAGGAGAGGTTAGAAGCATTAAATATGCCAAAACTAGAAGACAGAAGAAAAAGAGGTGATATGATCACTACGTACAAAATAGTAACAGGAATTGATAAAATCGACAGGGAAGACTTCCTGAGACCTGGAACTTCAAGAACAAGAGGCCATAGATTTAAACTAGCTAAACACAGATGCCGAAGAAATATAAGAAAATTCACCTTCGCAAATAGAGTGGTAGACGGTTGGAACAAGTTAAGTGAGAAGGTGGTGGAGGCCAAGACCGTCAGTAGTTTCAAAGCGGAGTGCTTTTTTATGACAAAGAGTGCTGGGAAGACGGGACACCACGAGCGTAGCTCTCATCCTGTAACTACACTTAGGTAATTACACTTAGGTAATTACACACACACACACACACACACACACACACACACACACACATATACATATTCTTAACATGTTATCTTATAATTTGGAAATATAGTTTCTTTGTACTTGAATAACGTAATAATGTTTTATATACATTTTAATTTGCATCTAAAAAGATCTGTTACACTTTTTTTTAGGTTGTGCATTATAACTGAAATTGCTTATATAGGTGGCTATAACTTTTGCTTTGGTTACTCAGCTATTGTATTATTAGTATATTGAATATGTATTCCAAGGTACAATCTTCCATCTGGGGCATTGGCAGTACAGTTTTGGCTTCAGCTTCTTATATGTGTGCCAGAGTGGGTGCACGACAGTTCCGTGCTCTTCTTACTGGACACCATTTGTCAGCACGCCTTCATCCACTCCACTTCCTGGCAAGAAGTCTTACGAGGATTTTCAGAAGTCATGAAAGTAATTGGTGCTTTTTATGTATTTCTTATAGTTATTATTTATTAACTTCTAGGTCATGTACTGTATGTATAATACTCTGGTATATATTTACATAACCCATTACATTACATTTACATAACTTTGATTTCCTCCGTCATAAGATAAGGATCATACAGTAGAACTTTGTTACTGTGTTCAAACAGATCATTCTGTGACAGAACATGTCTGTTTCAGTGGGAATGAAGTTGTATCAATTTGATATATTTTCTGTGGGAAGCCCCGTCGGCTCCCTGGAGCTATTGGACTGATATTAGCTACATTAGTCTAGGGCTTCAGTCAAATAAAGTCCGTATGCCTACCGGGAACCACAAGCCAGAACCTGGTTCCCCTCAGAGAGGCGAAGGGAGCAGTGGCCTATGAAAACTCCAATCTATGAGAGTATATTCATGTCTGCCATCGACCGGGGATAGCCACCCAGAAAGGTAGGCACCCCAAAACAGACCCCTCCTGGTAAAAAAATTGCAACCTGAAACCAAACAGAACCTAGGAACTCCCATCTAAGGAAAACAAGATAACAAGCAAAATGTCATCACACCACTGGCTGCTTTGGGAGGGGGAGATCCCGCCCCACTGTGCCAGCCACCAGACCTTCAGTTCGTCGAACGAAGCTGGCTGGGGCGGATGTCTACTCAGGTCTTGATTGCTTTTTTCACCCATGCGGTGGTACCTGCTGTGTGTTGGTGCAGTGGCCAGGAGTTCCAGCACCTAGGGCTGTATGTGCTTAGGGTTCTCTTCCCTAAGCACCCTGTGAGTACATCCCTAGGGTTTCAGGGTTACCTTCCCTAGGACTTTTGGGTTCCAATTGCCATAGGGGTAGCGGTCGCTTGGCTTCTGCCTCGCCGTTAGAGTCAGCTTAGGGTTTTGGTGCTTTTGTTTGGCCCTGGGTAGGCAGTGTTTATTGCTGGTTTGGGGTGCACTGGGCTGCACAGCTTGCATAACAGCAGCGGCCATGCCTCTCTCTGGCCTCCTGTTGTTGTGGAGCTCCTTTGGGGCTCTTTTTCATTCTTTTTAGTTCCTTTGCTGCCTGGCTTCCCATTAGGTTCACCTAGGTTTTGTGGGACAATCCTCCCCTCGGCCCCCGAGGTTGCTCGGTTCTCAGGGGTCAGTTTGCCTGGTCAATAAACCTGTTTCAACCAGCTTTGGCAGCATCAGTGCTTGGGCTTCTTGTAGGGTCACATCACCCTGCAGGCTCTGGAAACCCCCCCTGTCGAGGCTCGGGGTGACCCTCATTATGTCTTGCGAGTCCCATCTCCCCTCGTATGAGTTTGAAGGTTGTTCCTTGCCTTTGTCTCAGTATGACAATCATCTGTTTTGCCTCCGTCATGCTGCTTGTTTGGTCGACGTCACTTTCAACCCGGAGTCATGCGAAACTGGTTCTCCGCTCGTTCTCGGGTTTACCCTCTTTTCTTCAGGTGAGGTTAGGGGTCAAACAGCTTTTGCATTGCATGCTAGGTTTAGGTTGCTGCAGCGCACTAGGTTGGTCACCTGCTCGAATGCCCCGAAGCTGCCCTGCTTTGGTTTTAGGGACCCAGACTTGGGGCGTTGGTCACTTTAACCTTGGTTCAGTCTGCGCCCCTTAGTCCTTGCCCTGTTGGTGTTCACCCTCCTCCTCACTCCCTGTTGGTGTTCACCCTCCTCCTCACTCCCTGCTGCTGGCTTCCAAATGTCTAAGGGTTTCGGAGTCAGGGCAGGATTTAGCTGGGGAGGAGACTCGGGCGGCTCCAGGGGGGCTGTCCCATTCAATGCAGGGACGGAGGCATTCGAGCCTGATCCTCCCACCGAGGCTTCTGGGTCTTTCCAGCGGGCCCCCTTCTTTGGCATATGTTCTGTCGCACCTGCACGCTTGAATGGTGGGAGTTGACTTTGGTCATTCAGGTTTACCTGGGGGGTGAGTTGAACCACCTCAATGCATGCGTGTTCGCCCCTGTGCTTCCTCACGATGTTGGCCAGGTGCATCCTCACGTGCAGGTTTCTTCCCTTTTGGCGTCTCTGGTCGCTGATGATTTGCGTGCCCATGGGCATTTGGCTTCGGTCTTGCACTTCTATTCCCTGCTGGAGCTGTCTTCAGACTGGCTCGAGGAGAATATGTAGGAGCTGGGTTCTAAACCAGTGTCTGGTGCGCTTGCCTTGGTGGCTTGTTCGTCGGCTGCCTGGTTGAAGTTGTTTGGGCTGATTCTGAAGGAAGTGTTTTCTCTGTTCTTTGCTTCTCGCCTCGCGTGCCAACGGGCAGTGCTCGTCTACTCTTTGGAATCTGCTTGGTCCAGGGCTTTTAGATTTTTGTCCCCTTTTTGCCCGTTGCTGTTTGCAGTCTGTAGTTATGCATTTTCTGCAGGCAACTTCATCTAGTTGCTGACCTATGTCGGGCTTATTGGTTCTCCAGGGGAATGGCTGTGGGGGTCCTGCCTGGAAGGGTCATGCCAGAGCTCTGGATTCCTTCGGTCGTTGCAAGCCAGTAGTGCCAGATTCAGGGCCTGCACTACTGGCTCACGCCGACGGCTCCTACACTACACGCCGATTGCGTCTGGTCGGTGCAGTGCTTGCTCTTAGTGTAGGTCGGGCTCTCATAAGGGTCGTTAGCCTTTTTTGCGGTTTGCCTCGTTGACGGAACGATGGGGTGAAGGGGGGGAAGGCTCGTGCTGTTTGCTCTTACTTGCAGTGGCATTGGGTGCCTCCTACTCCTCCGGGGAAGTTCGAGACGGGCAGGGCAGGCCTCTTTCCCTACGCTCTGTTGGGTCATCCTGGAGTGGGTACGCTTGGGCGTGGTTGAAACGATAGCGTCCCTCACTTGGATTTTCTGTCTGTATCCAGTTCTAAAACAGGACTGTGTGGATCTGAGGTTCATTCTGGACTTGTCCTGTCTGAACCGATGGGTCTTTTGCCCCTTCTTTTGGATGACGACTCTGTCCCAGGTTCAGCTGCTTTTGGAGCCGGGCACTTTGATGGTGTCCCTGGATCTCCGGAACACATATTGGCACGTCCCGATTCATCCGGGGTTCAGGGACTGACTCTGTTTTGTCGTGGAGAGGCAAGCTTACTGCTTGTGTCGCTTTGACGATGACTTTCGTTTCCTCGATGACTGGCTGGTCTGGGCTTCCAGCTGATCCACACGTCTGTTTGTTAGGGATTTGGTTCTTACCCAGCTCGCCGGGTTCGGGATCTTGGTGAACTGAGAGAAGTCCCATTTGGTTCCCTCTCAGGTTTGGACTTGGCTGGATCTTGTGTCGGACTCTTGGACCGCTTCCTTGTCTCTCCCTCTTGCAGAGTTGCTGCGGCTGTGGTCCTGTCTTCGTCTGTTTTTGGGTTGCACCCGGGTCACTCGTCAGTTGTTCGAGCAGCTGTGCAAAAGTCTGAACTTTGCTGTGCTGGTCTACCTACTGGGTCGGATCTGGCTTCGGCAGCTGTTCTGGTTCCTTTGGGGGCATCCCTTCCGTCGCTTTCGCAATCGCTGGGTTCGGACCTCGGGGCCTTGCGTCGGCTGCCGCATCGCTGGCTTCCTCTTCAGGGTTTTTCAGGGTTCAGTGCCGTGGCGCCTACCCGAGCCCTCACTCAATGTGTTCACGGTTGCATCATCTCTCAGCTGGTACTTTGTGACCAGTGCTCACCAGGCCAGCCAGGGTCAGTGGGGTCCATCCTTCCATCCAGCTCACAGCACGGTGCAGGCCCTTCTCTGACTGCGAGGCCGTCAGGGTCAATGCCTTTTGGCTTGGCTGGTCAAAGTGGGGTTACCTGTACCTCTTGCCCCTAGTTTGGTTGTTGCTCTAGGTCCTGGCTCGCTTCGAGACTTACCAGGGGAGAGTAATCCTGTTGGCCTCTTGGTGGCAGCCCCAGCCTTGGTTTCAGGTGTTGCTTGCTCGGTGTCGGAACACAAGGTTGTTCCTGCGGCTCTGTCTCTTTCAACAAATAGGTCCAGTCCGGTACATGGGTGGTTCGATTTTCTCCTCCAATCTTCGCACCAGATCTTTTTGACCTTGGGTTTATCACCAGTTGTATTGTGATCAGGTGGCTTCGTTGATGGTGTCCCACCTGCAGGTTTCATCTCGGCACCAGTATGAAGTTTCCTGGTGGTCGTTTCGGTACTTTTTGTCTCTTCGTGGGTTGTCTTCAATTTCTGATCGGGTTGTTTTGTCCTTTCTCTCTTGGTTGTTTGAGGACCGTCATCTTATGTCAAATACTGTTGCCTCATATTGTGCGGCGCTGGCGGAGCTGCTTCAGCTTGCATTCTGGGTGGCTGTCACTTCTGCTACGTTCCGCAAGCTTTCTTAGGCATTGTTTCACCTCCGGCCTGCTCGTGTGCCGCATGAGCCATCCTGGTCATTTGACCTGATGGTCTCTTTTCTCTCTCTTCTCCTCGGTTTGTAGTGGCCCCTTCAGTTCAGGACTGTTTTTCTAAGGCTCTTTTCTTGTTGGCATTAGCCTCTGGGGGTCAGGGAGCTTCATGCTCTCCAGTGCAGGGGTTTCTGCTCTTTTGGTCCTGGTGGTCGTTTTGTTCGGATTGCAGCTGGCTCCTCCTTTTCTGACGAGGAATGAGACTGCTGCTGTCCGAAGAGGTTCTTGGGTTGTTGATGCTTGGTTGGTTTGGCCGGGGGTGCATCATATTTTGTGTCCGGTTGCGGCTCTTTGCCGTTTCTTGCACGTCACGGCCTCCGTGGCAGGGGACGCGCTTTGGGTTAACCCCGGTTTCCCTTCCTCTCTGTTCCAGGGCACGGGCCTACCAAGTCGTCCGCATGATTATTCTGCCTGTGGTCCATTCCCATGCCCACGACGTTCGTAAGTTTGTGGCTTTGGCTGCTGTTTTTGGTATTATGTCCTGGGGCTGACATTCAGGCACAGGGTTTCTGGAGGTCAAACAGGGTCCTGGCTGCACGGTACCTTGTTAATGTTCCTGGCCCTTCTGGGGCATGTGTAGCCTTGGGTCACAGGTCACAGGTTGTGTAGCCTATGGTCGCAGGTTGGACTTCGAGTTGAGGAGCGAGTGGCGGCCACCTCCAGGCTAAGTCCTTCCTTTTCCTTTTTCGTGGTTAGGTAGCTCCGGGGAGCCGAAGAGGCTCTTCACAGAAAACTAGCGTTCAATGTAATGAAATGCCATTTTCTGGGTGAGACCCAAAGGCTCCCCACTCTCCCTCTGGTCGGTGGTTTTTTGCGTTTTTGATATTCAGCCTCTAAACTGGGTTTGGGTAGCCGGCACGGGAGGTTTAGGCCCCCCCCCCCTTTCCCCTCCCAGGGAGAGTCGAGAGCTGTGCAGACAGCAGTGTGGTGGCTGTGGTGATGTCATGATTGATTGTTTGTTTTCTGATTGGGAAGTTCTGCTTGTTCGTTCGATTTTTGGTTTGCAATTTTTAACCAGCCGTATTTGTTTTGGGGTTCCTACCTTTCTGGGTGCTTGACCTGGTAGATGACAGACATAGACTGCTTCCAACTACATGGGGGTGTCTATAGGTCATTGCTCCTCGTGCCTCTCTGAAAGGGGCAAGGTTCTGGCTCATGGTCCCCGGTAGGTTAGAATTCTATTGATTGGCTGTTGCCACGGACTAATATATATACATCAGTCCGGTGTATTATCCAGGGAGCCTCTGGGTCTCACCCAGAAAATGGCGTATTACATTCAACGCTGGTTTTCTGGCTGAGTACCGGAGGCTCCCTGGCACCCTCCCTCCCTCCGGTCAACGGTTTTTGTTTCCATTTGTCAGTCTCCAAACTGGAGGTCTGGCAGCCGGCTCAGTGGGGCCGCACAGTGTGATAGCATTTTGCTTGTTATTTTGTTTTCCTTGGAGGGGAGTTCCTAGGCTCTGTTCGGTCTCAGATTGCAATTTTTCTACCAGGAGTCTGTTTTGGGGCACCTACCTTTCTGGGTGTCCAACCCCGGTCGATGGCAGACATGAATATACTCTCAAAGAGTGGAGTTTTCATAGGCCATTGCTCCCTTCCTCTCTCTAAGGAAACCAGGTTCTGGCTCATAGTTCCCAGTAGGCATATGACTGAATAATATAGCTGATATCAGTTTGATAGCTCCGGGGAGCCTCCGGGACTCGCCCAGAAAATGGAGTTTCATTACATTCAATGTTGATTTTTTGCACCAGTTTTTATATTGCATAATCCAATGCTAATTTTTGTATAATTTAACAGATGCATAATAAAATGTTAATCATTGTGATAATTTCCTTTCTTAAATGGCCCCCTCAGATGCTTCCAGAGCTGAAATCTTTATAATCCACCCAGGGCTCACAGTATATTCCAGGCTCCCATGAATTCTAAACAAATTATGACAGATGTTTACTGTTGGTCTTGTTACATATTTTGGGGTAAAGATGCTATAGCAAATTTCATTTAAACCACTGCCGAGCATACCAGCATGCTGTGATACTCAAAAGTAAGTGCGGCCTCAACACCCACTGCATACAAAAAAGTACCAAGCTTGGTACTTTTCACTCTACTGCTAATAAATGAAAGCTGCACTGACCATCACCATGTATCACCACAATATGGTCTGGGGAACTGGCAACTCCCACTTAAAGTCCAGATCAACCAAACATACTAAGAGAGGTAATGTGATAACAAAGATATGAATGGGAGCATCTTAAGCCCTAGATCAGAAAGGAGCTTTTTACTATGTTCAGCACACTATTTCTGAGTAAATACCCTCTGGATACTCCCATAGCCAGTTTTCCACAGCATGCAAGGTGACAAAACTATAAAAAGATAGAGTATTTACCCAAGCCAAAATCCTTAGCACAGGTGCCATTTATTTGGAAGATGAAATAGCAGAGACCACTGAAACCCAGCCACCGAACCAGAGTCAGACGTTTATCAAGGCACATTAGGGAGATATCTTACAGTGAAGGCCCAGTTCAATCTCCAGAACCCACGGGTTATAATGTCTGAACAGGGGGAACATTGTTGAAAACAAGCAGTTTGAGTGGTATATTTCCGTAGAGTATGCGCATGTGGGTAAGCCTGTGGTTGACAGTTTAACCACTTCAGAAAAAGTTTAGAAAGGTGAACCTTGTAACACAAAGTCGAAGAACTGGGATTGAAGAATAAAGCAATAGAGTGGGATGCACACGATGCCATTAGATACTGGTACTATAAAGTTACAGAATAGAGCAAAAGAGGCACGATAAACTATGCAAGAATGAGGAGAGAACCACAATGAAAAATACGTGACTCGTATTTTGGCAAGGCAGAAAGGGTGTTGCAACTGATCTGACCCATCAAACAAGAAATATTCTTGTGTTATCCCAGCCATCTCACCTGTAGCATCTTTTTACATGTCATCTCGAAACATCCTTTGTATATATTCCACCCTTCCAATACCAATATATCAGCCCATGGTATACATTATAAAGTTACCAAGTGTATTGAGTTGCCTCAGTCTTCTCTCACCCAACTGTTATCCCTTGGCTTTCATGTAAGTTCATTCTGGTATTCCCTTGGTGTCTCAACTAAATATACAGCATATATATATTTTGTCTGTGGTTTCATCACAGATGCAACACAGGGGAAATATTTTATTTTTATAAGAGCACGAGCAAATTTGACTATTAGCCTAGACCAATTTCTCTCTCCGTTATCATTTTTGCAGCACCTCGGGTGATATTTTCAAGATATTTTCAGTGCTAAGATAACCAATTGGAAACATTTGTTTCAGAGCTCTGAATATCAATGTAGTGCTGGGGGAGGTGTGATTGGCTTGCTGTCCTGGTTAACTGCAGGAACTACGGCCCCTAATTCCTTGCTTGTGCGTCCATCAGCCCCACAGTTTCCATGGTTCACAGTGGCTGTTCTCACACTGGAGACACAGCAAGAAGTAAACTCAGGGCTCTGGAAGAACCTTCTCTTGGAACTATATACCAATAAACAAACCACGCTGGAGCAAGCACTTAAGGTATTAAGTTAACTAATAGTACTATAGTGGAATTGGCAAAAATACTGTGTAATGTATTCCTGCTCCAGCAGAACAGTTTTACATAAAAATAAGATTTAACAAATATTCTGATCCATTTTGTCCCCGAAGCAACAAATTAGGTGTCCAGATAATCAAGACGTTTTCCTTTAGATTTTTATATATAGTACTTTACCAATAAACATAAACAAATTCAACATTTAATTTTGATATTAAAAATGCCAATTTTCTTTGTGATTTTGATAAAATACTGATGAACAGCATGTTCTTTAATTTTTAACTGTTAAAATTACATTATTCCTGGCAAAACATATAAAAGGTTGAATGCAATGCATGTAAGTTTCCATTTGAGTCTGTGAGTCAATTATTTAATTAATAGCTGATGTCTGTTGATTGGCTGCTGATTATTGTTCTATTTGCAAAGAAAACATAATTTTATGTTGATAGTCAAGAGGTATATGTGAGAGGAGACCGCAAAATGTGAAAGTGGACCAAAATAAATTAATGGTGATGGAGAGAGACGAAAATTCAAGTGTGTGGCAAAGTTAAAAAGAGAAGTCCATGAAGTGGTCATTTTGACCACTTGAGAAATTTGTTAAATGAGGCATTTATAAACAGAGGTTCCACTGTATAAGATAGGAAGAGAGGCAGGACGAAGACTGCATGAAGGAGTGGTAGTACTGACCCTTATGTATGGATTAGATAAGAGATGCTGGTGTGGCTTGAGCATAAAGATCAAGAGCTGTGAGCTATTGAAATGAGATGCTTTTGTGGGATTAGAAGGATAGAGTAAGGATAAAAAAAAGTTACAGGAAAATGTGGAGTTCAAAAATTAGTGAGTCATAAGATTGATGACAGTTTATTGAGATGGTTTGGTTCATATTTAGTGAATGAATCAATAATGATATGATTTTTTTTATATAAATTAAAAGTGTATTCAAGTGAATTTGTAGGCAGGAGGAGGAATGGAGGGAGTAAGAAGATAGTCAAACATGGTGAGTGTGAGACAGCAGGACTGAGTGTGAACAGCTCATGAGAAGTGGTAGGGATTGAGGCTATATGGAATCAATTAGTTTAGAGAGTAAGTATATGAGTCAATTACATCTAAGGGAGAGCACCTTGTACATGGTTGTGTGAAGAGAAGGGAAATGTCTCAGGATGCATTGATGAAGTGTGACTATGCTGGGTTTGCATGGTCCTGTAGTATATATGTGTGGAATATATTGAGTTTGTTTTTGTATTTTTGTTTCCTTTATTCTTTTCTATTTGCACTCTGAGCACTGGTACTTGTACATGGGAGAGTGTGAAGAACTGGCTAGTGATAATGATGATGCTCATGAACACAAACTTGCAGATGAACCCTAATGCTCTCAATGTGGAAATAGGAACTTATGAACATTTAAATGAACGAAATGTATAACATTTCCAGAAGGTAACAAGTGCTCTAGGCCTTGGTCCAGCATCGTCCAGTCTACTGAGTATCTATCGGTGGGGTCGGCAGGTGGTGGACCTTCCTGCCGACCATCCTGCCTTCCCAGTCACCCTGCAGATGTACCTTGCACTACATATGGCTCGTGTTCCTCCACAACCTGGGTTAGTTGTCTCTTGGATATTTAACAACAATTTAATGTTGATTTCTTGTATCATTTTACCTAAGAGTCTTTTAGTAATTCCACAGTACAAGCATTATTGAAATTGTTTAAATAATTACATAAATCTCAGGCATCTAGGATAAGGCATCTATTAACTAGACCCATGATTAAATGGGTCACTTATTTTTAAGACATTATACCAAAGATATGTAACCAAGTTTTTGTTCACATGACAGAGAAAGTAAAAAAATGTAATGGCAATAAATCACAAAAATTGCCAAAGAAATCTTGATGGAATAGAATGGATCCATCCCCAAATATTCCATTCCATAAAACATTGAGATTGTATTGGACTGATGTATAACTTGTTTCTTTTTAAAGAAAGTTAGATGGTTATTTGTATTGTAGTTACATGTGGCAATAGCCCTGAAAATATTTCATTTGCTAAAACTGTGTTAATTAAATATTTTGTATAATTATACTCATCCTATATCTGTTTTAATTTGTCAGGTTCCAAACATTTATAATTCATGCTGTCATGGACCTATTTACAGGCAGTATGAGTGTGGCAGTGTGGTCTCTAGTTTTTATCAAGGAATAGTAAATTCAGCATTTCTTAACAAAATTAAGAAGAAAGTAGCAAGTGCTGTTGAACATTATGAGTCTTCCTTAAGCAAGGAACCAGAAGATGAAGAGGGAACTCCAGATCTTCAGGTAAGGAATTGGCTAAGGTTGTCACATGTAAGGAATGTGTGGCGTATATTTATTTAAGGCTTTATCACAAACATGCACACTGGCTGGGTTTTGCTTGTTGGCACTACAGATTCAAGTAATCGGAAGCATTTATCCAACAATATAGGCACAGGTAGAGATTGTGTTGCTGGAGTGTGGGTATCTGTTACTACCATAGAGGCTGAGAGTTAATATGAAAGATGTTGGGAGGAGGTAATGTAATTATCAGGAGACAGCATTAAGCCATCATGACTATATAGCATTGGAAGGGACATGAGAATAAGAAGTTGGAATAGAACCGTGAGAAGGAATGGTGCCCAGCCACTTGGATGGTTAGGGATTGAATGCCAACCTGCAAAAAGTGAGACCGTTGCTCTACTGTCCTGTCCAAGTGGTTGGGCGATGCTGGGGAGGAGTCGCACTAGGTGTCATGGCAGTCTAGATGTACTCTCACATTCCTCTAGACTCGGGGATCATAGTAAGTCTTTATTGGTACTGTATGTTATAGGGGATAATGAGTAGATTATGTCATGTAATACTCTGCATTAATGTTGGGCACTCTGTGGACCATCACTGTGAGCTTCTAGGTGTTTGTGGTGGTGTTGGCGATTATATGCCCCTAATCTGTCTCTTTTAGGTAAGCATTTTCAGCACCATTTTGTTCCATCAGACACTACTCCATATCTCAGGTGAATTTTACCCCTTATTTGGTTTTCTTCAGTTGAAAATGTTTACCTTAGGGAGCATGAGTGTTCAGTGTAGTGTGGAGAAAAACTTTGACGTAGGGGAGATACCAGAAGCACTTAAATCAGCAAATAAAGCTCCTCTACACAAGGGAGGGAGCAAAGCATTACTAAAAATATAGACCAGTGGCACTAACTTCATGCATAATAACAACTTTGAAAGAGTGACGATGAGTCAGATCTCGAGTTTTATTGAGAACAATAACCTTCACTACCCAGTTCAACATGGATTTAGAGCAGGAAGATCATGTCTTTCGCAGTTACTTAACCACTTTGGCAAATCACAGAAGCATTAGAAGAGCAACAAAATGCAGATGTGGTATACACGGACTTTGCAAAGGCATTTCATAAATGGGACCTTAGAGTGTTAACACATAAAATGAGATCAGTAGGAATAATAGGTAAAGAAGGGCAATGGATACTCAATTTCCTGTTAAACAGAATGCAAAAGTAACAGTCAGTTAAGCAAAATAAAGTCCAAGCACAGTGAAAAGCTCTGTACCTCAGGGTATAGTCTTTGCACCACTGCTTTTTCTTATTCTCATATCAGATGTAGACAAAAATACAAATCACAGCTTTGTGTCATCTGTTGCAGATGACACAAAATCAGCATAAAAGTTACTTGTGTAGAAGACACTGAATAACTATGGGCTGATATCAATAAAGTTTTTGATTGGGCAGAGTAAAACAACATGATGTTTAGCAGTAATGAATTCCAGGTAATTAGGTATGGAAAAATTAAGATCTTAAATGAAATACAGGGTACAAGTCACAATCAGATCTACCCATACTAAGAAAGCATCATGTAAAGGCTTTGGGATATCTGATGACCTAACATTTAGGGAGCATTATCAAGAAAATACAGTGTTGGCTAGAAAAATGATAGGATGGATTATGAGAACATTTAGGTCCAGGGATCCCACTACAATGCTCATACTATTTGAATCACTCACTTGTGCTGTCCTGCCTTGAGTACTGCTCAATACTCACTTTGCCCTTCAGAACCTGTATAGATACGGTAAAGCACCTAAACTATTGGGACCACCTCAAAGCTCTCAAAATGTACTCTCTGGAAAGGAAATGAGAGAGGTATCACATATTCAAGTACTTACATGGAAAATACTGGAAGGCCAAGTCCTAAATTTGCATAGTAAAATAACAACATATTGGAGTGAACAATATAGCAGAAAAGGCAGAATAGAGCCAGTGAAGACCATGGGTGCCATAGGTACAATCAGAGAACACTGTATGATCATGAGAAGTCCATGGCTGTTCAATTTTGGGTAAACACCACATATAGGGTAACTGATAGATCATCACCTCTTGCTCTTGTTTACTCCTTGATATGTTGTCCACAAATTTTGCTTTCCATGTTTCATCTTCCCTGTGAGGGTTCTTTATTGATCAGTCTATTTCCCTGTGGTTAAAATCCCCAAGTATTAGGATCTTTGCTCTGGCTCTCCTTGCTACTGTGGCTGCCTTTTCTTTTAGCTTCAGGCATGTTTCATTGCATTTATCATGTTCCTCTTTTGACCTTCCTGTAGTTAATGGAGGGTTGTAAATAACACCTGCCATTATCTTCATGGTCCTTACTGTTATTGCACCTAGCATGAAATCCTGTTAGTGGGTTACTTCTGGAATCTCTTATCTCTTCAAAGCTACAATGCTGTTGTACCAATAGTGTACCAATAGTACCGATGGTGCTACTACCTGGTGGTGGTATTATGGCCATGTGGAGATGATTGGAAAGTTTTTGTGATGTTGGTGCCTAAATGTTAATCTGTTTGGCTGTTCATGGTCCTGATCATATGACTTGCATTCACTAGAAAAAATTCTTGTTTATAATGTAAAATTTTTGTTCAGATTGCAGAGTCCGTAAAGTTATTACGTGGGATGCAGGCATGGTTGGATGAAACCCGACTGTATGAGCCAGGTGTATACCTTCCAGCTCTACCCCCACATCTTCTCCCTCAAAAATTAATGGAGATCTTTCAGGTGAGAATTACATGAAGTATTTGTTTTCTATCCTCATATTATTCAGTTCACTGTTATTGTTTTCAGTTTCCCTCTGATTAATTATGTGGTGATACCACCCTGCGAGTGAATCCTTGAATTCGATAGTGCAATTTATCGCTCTGCAAACTACGGAATTTACCACAAGCCATTATCCCCAATCACCACTAGGTGGCAGCATACTACATGTAAACAGGGTTGGGGGTGGCAGCGACCCTCAGTTGAGACCAAGCTACCCCCCAACATGTTTGGCAAAATTAGGACAAACGTGCATGGAATGTGTGTAAAAGCAAATGGTAGACAACTTGGAAAGTAGAGCTTCAGTATTCTCGATTCCCTATTTCTGAGCTAGACCCCTAGGTTGCTTCCAAAACAACTCCACCGAAAGAAAAAGGAAAGGCATCAGTCTACTATAGAGAAATAAATTCAAAATGTGGAAAACTTAATGGCCAAACAACAACTTAGAAGATGGAGAAGTGACGACGGTGATGAAATGATTACAGTGTACATACTGTGCTGGTATTCAAGACTAATTATAAGAGAGTGGCATTAGTAACAGCAACAAGGTTTAGTTATACAGCATGAAAGCTCTATTGGTACATCTATCTGGCCATGAGCCAGACTCTGGTAGAATAGTAGATACATCATCCAGAGTGATTTCAAAATATGAATTGGGTATTTCTTTGCTTCTGTTTTAAACAAGTTAAAACTGGACAGCATTTGTATTTATATTTATTTGCATACCATTTCTTCTCTGGTTGAACCGGACTCTTGGAATATAAAAAATCAAGATCGGTATTATATCATAAAATTTTAAAGGTTTGGAATGCACAGGAAAATGTGCATACTATAGTGCACTTATATTTACTATTATTTAGGATTTGAACACTGGTACTGTATGGTACCTGGGAATAGAGCTCATTATGGTTCTGATACATATCAGAACATATCATATGTATCTGATACATATCAGATACATATCAGATACATATCAGATACATATCAGCTCATATCTGTGGTTCTGATAGCTGATTTATCTCTCTCAATTATTGATTTGAGATAGTTAAAAGTTGTAGGACATCAGAGAAATGTACCGTAAGTGAGATATGGTTAGATTAGTGAGAACGACAGTTATGAATGTAGGCAAGGTACCTATAGCAGGTTTTTGGACATTGCATGCAAAATAGATACAAATTTAAGATTTTTTACAGATAAATGCTAAATCCAGTTGTAATTTGTTGTAGGGCAACTGGGAACCCTGGCCAGAAGCCATCAACCAGAAAATAATGGAAGAAAGTGCTCAGAAATTTCTCAGGTGTGTATCCAAACTCATAAAGCATTAATCCAAACTCATAAAGCATTAATCATAGTTTGACTAAACTATGACATCGATGTGAAAAGTGTTTGATGCTTGCAATATTTTATATCTAAAAATATTTTACATTTCTATATTAATTTATATTTAGTAATTTTTCTTTGATGCCAGTGTTGCGAGCAGTGTAATTTTTTATAAAAATTCAGTTCTGTAGTGGTACCTCGAGAAATGCAGATAATAAAGCAAATTTTCTTAAATCATTTAGTCATCTCCTTAAGCAACATTCCACTTCCCCGAGGTATACTGTAGAGTCCTGTCAGAGTAAATATGACTATTATTCCCTACACAGGAAGGATCTTTTAAAATTATCCTCGCTTGACATATTGTAGATATGAAGTTTGTGCTGACTTTGGCTATAATATGCAGTGTTCTTGGGAGAGAGGAAATTTGGCCTAAGAAAGTAACCAAATGACCCACTCAGAAAGCTTTTTATCTACACACAAAGCAATAGTTCTAATGATTTCATCACAGCTAAATCTCATTGTGTAACTTTATTTTCAAGAGTGTGGGAGCAACATCGGTGTGGGAAAAGCTGTAGCAGCATCTCTGGCTCTCCGTCTGCTTCTCCTGAGCACAGGCACAAACCCCACTCACAAAAGAACTTAGAACAGTATGACCCTAAACAGTCTATCATTAAGAGACTTGACACTTATGAACCTCCACAGCCACCACCGCCTATACCTCCTAAGAGTCCACTCCACACACCTTGTCTCCAAGATAAGACATTAGTAGATCCTGAAGCACTGCTTTCCCTTGTCCATCGTTATACAGGTGTGTTTAATTTGTGGACATTTAAGTTTGGCATGCCACTGTATTGCTGAAATTGCCCTAAATAATTTATTTTGTCAAAATATTACTCATTAATTTAATTTATTATAGATTTTTATATATTATAGTTTTCATCATAAATTATATTTATGCTCTTTATGGGCGGGGACAGATATTGTCTATAAAAAAAACTCTACGAATGACGGGCGGAGACGCATGTTGTGTCCAAAATTAAAATATTTGTTAAAATTCTATTTTCTGTGGGGAACCCCTTCGGCTCCCTGGAGCTATCGGGCTAATATGAGATATATTAGATTAGGGTAATAGTCAATGGAGTTCAGCCTACCGGGGACCACAAGCCAGAACCTGGACCCCTCAGAGAGGCACAGAGAGCAATGGCCCTGGAAAACCTCCCTGTGGTTGTGGGGGCTTTCCTAATCTGCCATCAACCGGGGTTTAGGCACCCAGAAAGGTAGGCATTACAAAACATGGTATGAAAACTACAACCGAAAACTGAACAGAGGCAGAACTCCCCTAATTCTAAAGGAAACAATCAATCAAACAAGCAAACGTCACATGGAGGGAGGAAGGTTCCGGTTTGTGGTCCCCTGTAGGCTGAACTCCATTGACTATTGCCCAGGTCTAATATATCGCATATTAGCCTGATTGCTCCTGGAAGCCTCTGGGGCTCACCCAGAAAATGGTGTTTCATTACATTCAATGCTGGTTTTTTTTTTATCATTGTGGGATTAGTTTTTAAAATGCGCGCATTTCTATTCCGAATAATTTTATACCAAAGTGAATGACGTAGCACAAAAATTGAGTTGACGAAAATGGAAAAAGTATAAATATTTGAGTGTGGATGATGGGTGCATGCTCTCGGGTAAAACTCGGCAGAATTTGGGGTGTGCTGCGGATGGCGTGTTGGGCCATTTGACCTTATATGCATATATTCCTTTAGACAACTATATTGTGAACAATTTGATACCAAAATTAACGACATGCCATGAAAATTGAGGTGAGAAAACTGAAAAGAGTATACACATTTTAGTGCGGTTGCACGCTCACAGGTAATGCTCGGCTGATTTTCGGGTTTGTTGTGGGTGGCACACTGGGCTTTTTGACCTTATATGCATACTGTATATGCCTTTAGAGAATTCTATTGCGGACAATTTGATACCAAAATGAGCAACGTAGCACAAAAATTGTGAGAAAACTGGAAAGATTATACACATTTTAGTGTGGGTGCGCACTTAAGGGAAACGCCAGGCCATGGGGTGGGGTGGGCTGGGCCACACGCAGTGTTAATAAATCACTGGTATGTTGACCAAACCACACACTAGAAAGTGAAGGGACGACGATGTTTCGGTTCATCCTGGACCATTCTTAGGTCAATTATTGACGTGAGAATGGTCCAGGGCGGACCGAAAGTCGTCGTCCCTTCAGTTTCTAGTGTGTGGTTTGGTCAACATATTTCAGCCACGTTACTGTGACGCCTCATCTGCAAATCACTGAAAAAAAAATTAAATGAAATAAAAACTATATCAACATCTTTTCTGGCTTATAATGCACATAGGAAGCCGAGTGTGGGGGAAGTCATTGGGTTGGTGAACACACACAAGTTTGCTTACTCATCATGTAGGGGTAAGGGGTCTTATGTTCAAGTCTGATGGTTATTATGTTTTCGTTACTTTTAGGTAGATTTCTGATCTCCCATCTCTCTTCACTCTGTAGAGAGAGGCAGATTTTGGCCCTAGCTCGGGTTTATCTTGAGATGATTTCGGGGCTTAGCGTCCCCTCGGCCCGGTCCTCGACCAGGTCTTGACCAGACCAGGGGTAGGTTGGTCTGGGTTTCAGAGGCCTGGCCTTAGGCTTTAGGCTTTAGGCTTACCAGTAGCAGTGCATAATCACATGGAGCTACTGAGAGCCTACATAAATGAAAGTTTTATTACGTGCAATGCTTTATTTTTCTTTTCCAGATTTTGTGGTGGAACATGCCCAGGCTGTGAATTTGTGGTGTAATGAGATGTGTGCACTTGACTGTGTGTATAGAGAGGTTCTACCACAACTGTATACAAATACAGCCACCAAAACCATACTCACTGCCGAGTGTCAGCCACCTAAAGTTGGGCGCCAACAGCCCAAGTGTTTAGGGCCAGCCAGTATTGTTGTAGAGGTGAGTACTCTTGACAGTTTTGCAAGTTTGTCATACAAATTAAAAACCTTCTTTTTAGACATTGTCTCCCCCAAAATATGGAAAGCTAGTTAATACTATTTTATTGCTATAAAGCATAATAATATTGCCATAGCAATATTATTATGAATGCTAATTGTGAGATGATTTATTGGAGTTGACATTAATACAAGTGTCCTCAGTCAGAAAGGACTGCACAAGCCAGCATATTAAGTGCCAGATATGTAGATTATACTTTAAAACTGTAATAAATGGTGAGAGCAGCCACCAGGGTTCCAAATCAATGGGACCCTTATCCACTAGGTCGTTAAGGTCCTGTAAGGCCTATGACAATCTTAAGGGTAGCTTGCGGATTCTCACACGAAATTTAATATTCAGTGATAATGGCTATGAATCAGGTTCGTGTCCAGAAGCAGGCTTTCATGAAGTGCAAGAATTTCCCTAGTATGTTGCAGCATGGATGAGACAATAATGTTGGAAGGTATTGACATAAAGACACTTTTCTTTTGATAACAACAATATTTATTCACAGACTATTACAAGGCACAACGATCTTGACGTTACAGTAATGTCCCGAAGTGAGACTTTAAGACTTAAAGATCCAGATAGCAGTATAGCAAGGATTCCTCTCCTTGCCGCTCTTTTTTTTAGTACGAATTCCAATCCGTACCGCTCTTGGCTGATATAATGAACTAACTGAACAATACGGGTGCTCACATGGGAATCAATATGCAAATCAAACCATTACAGTAAAACAATTAATAACAATGCGAACAGCAAGATGGGTCACAGAGACGGACTCCGGTAACCCCCTCAATTACGTTAACTCCCTCTCTCAGGATGGAAACCAAAACAACAGTTACCTCACTATCTCCCTCACCCCATGCCCAATTCTTAATTCTTTCTTTCTTTTTTGGCATTTTCGATACGTTACACACTCTTGTGGACTCATGTGGGAGTGTAAAATGATGGCATGCACTCCTACACACAGTTTAAAAGCTAGCTGGTAATCCATCTTCTCACACTAATGTACTCTATGGCATTTCATAATTGTGTACAGTGGTCAATATTATAAGGTATTATAGGTGAATTTCTGATTCCTTAACTGCACTGCGCAAAGCACCTTAAGGCGCTCTGAGGGTTGTGTGATTGTTTTTTTAATTAGGCCATATTTTAAGTTTTTTTAATGTTTTCATCGCTCTTTATGATTTGAAATGAAAATGATTGAGTTTGGAAGCATTTTGAGATTAACATTAGCTGAACATTTATAAAAACAACAAAAATATGTCTTTAACAACTGCACCATGAAATTTTTTGCCAAAAACAGGTGCGTAGTGCAGGGGTTAAGGAAAGCATATAATATTCATAGACAAGATATTTTCCTTTTAAGGAATGAATGTTCTAAAAACTAAAAAGTACATTGGTAATAACAGAAAGCTTATATTTATAATAATGTCAGTTTTAAGATCCCAGAAGGGACTTCCATCATTTATAATGCACTTATATAAACATACACTTCTCAAATATGGTCAATATTTTGTAATCCACACAAACATTTTATGGGTTCTCTGCTTATAGCAATGGATGAGTTCTAATTAAGTCTTGACATGAGAAACTGACAGGTTTTTGTCATTGTCATTGTTATTCTGTCATAAATAGATCATTGTACTCTTGAATACTTGGCCATTCATATCTATACAATAATAGAGAATGTCTGTCTGTCTGTTCAAAGTTTGAACTCACACAGGTCAGGCTAACCTCACCCAAATTGGCAGCGGGAATGCTCTGGGGTACGGGACAAACATGGGCTGGTCGGGGTCCAATAATTTGCCCATACTTGCATAAAACAGACAATTCTTCCACAGCATCACAGGCTACTCAAACACGGATGTCTATCAGAATAAGGGGTAACCATTCTTTTGTACTATTTCACACATACTAAGGTACTAAGCTCCTCTTGCTGGTGACCATCCACACATTAGACAATTATATATTTTATGTGAGGGGAGACAGATAAACAGACAGCAGAGAGTGAATGAGTTCAGAGAAACAGAAACAGATAGACAGAGTGAGGCAGACAAAGTGACAGAGATACACTGACAGTACCTAGCTGGATGGATAGGTGAATAGATAGATGGATGGGCAGATGGATAGGTGAATAGATGGATGGATAGATAGTTATAGATAGGTAGGTGAGTAGATAGATGCATGGATGGATAGATAAAAAAATTAATAAACATATGGATAGATAGAGGGACAAATGGGAGACAGACACCAAGGCAATGCCGAGTACCTCCTAGTAAATTATATTTTATTTTGTTATTCATTACTTTTAAGATATATTTTTGCTTATACTATACCATATTTAAATAGTTTTCTGAAGCTCGGCTAAATGAAAGGGAGAATGCCCGTGTTGAGCAGAATCGAGAACAGTATGAAGGAGTATTACAGCGTTGTCAGATGCCACCACCATTACAGCTGTGCCAAGCAGCCATTAGCTTAGAGGCCATAATCACGTAAGTACTAATTTCAGATTGGTTCACGAGTTTTATGTCTAGGCTTAAAATACTGTCATTTATATGCAGTTAATAATTATGACTTGACTGCACTTGCAACCATTTAAACTTTGAAACTCAAATTGGCCACTCAACCATAATTGTTTCTGAAGAATTGTTAAATTTTTCTCTTCTGTGTAATGCTCGGAATATGTTTCTTCCCCTTGTGTTGTGCTCCACCACACTTTCAGATTCCTGAACCTGTTATGTGTCTCTATAACCTCTTTCCACCATTGCCCAAGGAATGGGTGTAGGTAGTGGTGAATCGTGGTACCAATAAATCATACACTATCATACAGCATGAAACTTCTATTTTTGTTTAGTTTTAATTAAAATTTCCCAAATTCAGTTATAAATACATTAAAAATAACGTATAAAAACTTCAGAGTAATCACACTAACATAACTGCATCAATGAGAAAATCCGTAGGAGCCATGATGAGGGTTCGAACTTATGCGGTGGGTGTTCCCACGCACACGCTCTAGCGACTAAACCACGACATGGTAAAAGGATTGCAACCTAGAGGTTTACTGAACACACAAAGGTTTCCCGGGGCTTCTACTGAAGCTGGACCAGGATTTTCACACAATCCATCCATGCACTCTGGCTCTGTTATTCCCCATGATGCAGCACTGTCAGAGCGTGTGTGTGGGAACACCCACCACATAGGTTCGAACCCTCATCACAGCTCCTATGGATTTTCTCATTGATGTCGTCACGTTAGTGTGATTATTCTATCTATTGAAAGAGGAGCATCAGAGTTTCATCAGGGATGAAACATTTCTGGATGACAGAGCAGAGTCTTAGTTGCTTATTATTCTAGTGTGAGGTTGGAGTCATGCACCTGGCAGTGAATGCCTCCAGGTGCATGACTGAGCGGGACTGCAGCTCAGCAGCTCCTATTGGCGAGCCACCACTGAGTATAAGGTGCATAATAAGTGACTAAACTGACTACAAACTCAGATCAAAACACATTGCTGTGTTATGCTTTCTGGAGGAGATTTTCTGGGTTCAGAGTAGATCTGATCCTCAAGCTCCATTTACATCATAAAGAGATCCAGATTTTGGTCTAAGAATAAGCAATGATGGAGCTCGGAGGCCTTCTTGAGATGATTTTGGGGCTTAGCGTCCCCGCGGCCCGGTCCTCGACCAGGCCTTCTTTTTCTTACACATCCCCACAAAGCAGCCTGTAGCATCTGTCTAATGCCCAAGTATCTATTTACTGCTAAGTGAACAGGGGGCTTCAGGGTGAAAGAAACTTTGCCCGTTTGTTTACACTCCCACCAGGGATCAAACCTGGAACCTCAGGACTACAAATTCAAAGCACTGTCCACTCAGCTGTCAGGCCCCTGTGCAGGCCCTGGCCTAGTGCCTTTCCCTAGGGCATTACTTCACCAGTGCCTGGCTCCTGAGAACTACTGAATCCCATACTGGAAATGGGCATTTCATTATATTCAATGCTTTATTATTTTTTATTTTGTTAATAATGAGCAATTACTCAGTGGTGGATTGAGATAGGGTTGTTTACTGTCTTCTTGTGTCAACTACATGACAAAACTATTTGCAAAGATCCTTGCCATGGTTGGAATGATGTGTGTATTGTGTTCTGGGTGATTCATAAGGCCCTGGCATGGTGAACCACCTAAGGACCCTAGTTCATTAATGGTTGCTGAGTGAATGTGGTTACAGAAAAGGAGCACTAGCTAAATGGTACAACACTCAGCTTCATTACTTACACCGTAGCTTATTATTCCATTATTTTTATGCCCAGGACACTAGTGAATGGATTCCGGAAAGCAAGAACAGAAAATAATAACAATAAAACGGCATCCCTTCTTGCAAGTGGTCGTCAACTTTTTTATCACATTGTTCAACTGACATCAGACGACACAAGTTTCTACCCACCTGCCAAACAACTTATCACTTCTTGTGGCCAAGTGTTGGGACAGGTAGGACAGTGCGTATTTCAGTATCCCAATATGCATGTTAATTAAACAATACTATTTTACTATTATCTACAGGTATTTTGTAATATTAATCATGTTTTCCGAGGTTCTTGATCTACATTATCTGTATCTATAAAAGAGAATGATTACCTGTCTATCTGAGGTTGGAGGCCAGAGGCTTTAGATTAGTCTCACACAACTTTCACTCACAAAACATGAGGTAGAGATGAATTTCATTAGCCAAAACCATTGAGGTTTAGATATTGATATTTCTTAAATATCAACATTTAAACCTATTCAACAATTTTCATGGTCAAGTCTGAAATGGAGGTTTACCTGAGTTTACCTGAGAGCAACTAACACTAGTGGCCTCAATGAGGACAGGAAGCCGGCGGCTTGTCAGAGGTGCCCCATTTGCCTTGATCTTTTCCAGCTGTACTTTATACGTTAAGAGTTTTGGGATTTATGGCTTCGGTGGGTAGGCAGTTCCATGGGTTTATAACCTTGTGGATGGTTTTGGTAAATTTGGTCGATTTGGGTGCGGAGGTCATCGTCGGCGACCTCCGTACCCAAATTTACCAAAATCTTGATAACACCAAAACAAGGATCATAAAAAACTGACAGCATTATTCGGATGACCTATAGCAGTTCCTCAACCTAGAGATGGCTTCTTAAACCTTGCTGGAATCAACCTCACTGAGGCTCAAATCACTATTAAATCTGGGAATAAGCTGTCATGTTATGTCCAGACCCAGTGAGATGGCCCGGAAAATGGAGTTGGAGATCCTATTAGACGACATATTCAACCTCAAGACTCGGAAGAAAGTTACCACTGAAGACACCTTGCTAGCGGAAATTATTACAGAGGGAGGAAAGATTCAAAGTAACTACAGAAGCACCATACTGTCCCCCAAGTTCAAAGCAACAGCTAAGGGCCTTTGTGAGAATAAGGAGATAGTCGTCAGGAGAGGTGACAAGTCGCCAGTACAGTACTGTGTATGTTATTCTAAAAAAAAAGACAGATATCTGGCAAAAACTGAACCTTATTCTCTCCGACCAAACTAAATTCCGAAAGGTCACAAGGGATACTACAGCCAAATTAAAAATGAAGGTAAACAGATTTATTGAAACTGAACGCCAAGAAATCTAGACTCCACCTGTCTAAGGTTACAGGAGGATATAAGCCAAGTTATGTATATGGGAATGTTAACACTTTCGCGCTCTCGGCGCTCAAAAAAAAAAATACCCCAGATGCTTTCGGCACTTCGCGCGCCTATGCGGTAAAACCGAAAAAGTGTACACTCTTTTGACTGTCCTGACAATAATTGAAGGCGCACGTATTTAAATTTGGTATCACTGTGTTCGCAATGAAATTGTCTATAAGAGCATACGTATAAAATGCCGCCCAAGCATAAGGAGTATCAACACCAAATAAAAAACTATGCAGATCACTCGCCGAGAGCGCCAAACAGCAACAAAATGTTTCCACTCTCTTAATGGTTGCGAAGCCTACAGTTGTCCTACATCGCTAATTTTGGTATCATTGGAATCGCAATAAAATTCTCTACACGGACATATGCATATGAATGTTTAATATAGGTAATTGCCCACCCGCAAGAGTGTGTGAAGTGGAGAGTAGTTAGCCGCGAGCGCACTGGCGAAAACACAGGGGGGAAATCATGCTTGGAAAGTTTATACGTTTCCTGACCCTACTTTTCTATGTACGTATTTCTTGTTTATACCAATGTGTTCGCAATAAAATTTTCTATAAGATGAACTGTATAACATTTGTACAAAGCATGTGTAAGAGAAGCGCCAAATATAGAACCACGTCGCTCAGTCTGCGTTCGCGGCAGAAACGAACGCATTGTTTTCGTTCGTTTGATGTTTGGCATGTTTATACTTGTTGAAACATTTTATAATTTGTATGACAGTGATCACAGTAAAATTCCCTACACAGACATATACATAACACATACAAATATTTCCCACGTGTTGGATATATCAACGGCTAAAGGGAACCCACTGCCACACGCTCGCCACACCCCCAAACATACTTTGTGTATTTTTTTTTGTTTACTCATAGAAGTTTATGTGATATAATATTCATTCAGGTACCAAAAAATTCGCAAATAAATTCTCTACAAAACAAAAGTATCCCCATCCATTTCGGTTAAAAAATGGAATTTATAGAAATATTTTTTCGATTGACGAGAAAAGTAGGCAGTTATGCGGAATCGTAAGAAAAACCAGTGACGAGTTATCTCTAATCGAAAGCGTGAAAGTGTTAAGACCCACAAACCCGGAAACCCACTTTGGCCAATCAGCCAGATACCCACATCCATATACTGACTAGCTAAGCTACTCTACTGCCTGCTGACTCCTTATGTGCCTTGTGCTTTCAGCCTGAAGTCTCCAAAGGAATTTTTGTTCTTATTGTGGGGAGCACGGGCCATGGTGATGAGGGCCTCTCTGTATACGGAGTTGCTGTTTACCAATGCAACCCGTTCTCGCACTTTCGTATAGTCAATATTGACTTATTAAATAAGTGCATATGTGACATACTAATTTATTGTGAATATTTTAGTTTACCTTGAAAAGCTTCATAGAAAACACCGACCTTACCTAACCTTCTTAGTATGTTAGGATAAGCATCTTATTGCTTCGTAATTACAATTATTACCTAACCTATTATAGGTATAGGTTAAGTAATAGTTGTAATTGTTACTTAACCTTTAGCCTTTTTTTTATCTGGACCTAAAAAAGGCTTTCGACAGAGTTCCACATAAGAGGTTGTTCTGGAAACTGGAAAATATTGGAGGGGTGACAGGTAAGCTTCTAACATGGATGAAAAATTTTCTGACTGATAGAAAAATGAGGGCAGTGATCAGAGGCAATGTATCGGACTGGAGAAATGTCACAAGTGGAGTACCACAGGGTTCAGTTCTTGCACCAGTGATGTTTATTGTCTACATAAATGATCTACCAGTTGGTATACAGAATTATATGAACATGTTTGCTGATGATGCTAAGATAATAGGAAGGATAAGAAACTTAGATGATTGTCATGCCCTTCAAGATGACCTGGACAAAATAAGTATCTGGAGCACCACTTGGCAAATGGAATTTAATGTTAATAAATGCCATGTTATGGAATGTAGAATAGGAGAACATAGACCCCACACAACCTATATATTATGTGGGAAATCTTTAAAGAATTCTGATAAAGAAAGAGATCTAGGGGTGGTTCTAGATAGAAAACTATCACCTAAGGACCACATAAAGAATATTGTGCGAGGAGCCTATGCCACGCTTTCTAACTTCAGGATTGCTTTTAAATACATGGATGGCGATATACTAAAGAAATTGTTCACAACTTTTGTTAGGCCAAAGTTAGAATATGCAGCAGTTGTGTGGTGCCCATATCTTAAGAAGCACATCAACAAACTGGAAAAGGTGCAAAGACATGCTACTAAGTGGCTCCCAGAACTGAAGGGCAAGAGCTACGAGGAGAGGTTAGAGGCATTAAATATGCCAAAACTAGAAGACAGAAGAAAAAGAAGTGATATGATCACTACGTACAAAATAGTAACAGGAATTGATAAAATCGATAGGGAAGATTTCCTGAGACCTGGAACTTTAAGAACAAGAGGTCATAGATATAAACTAGTTAAACACAGATGCCGAAGAAATATAAGAAAATTCACTTTCGCAAACAGAGTGGTAGACGGTTGGAACAAGTTAGGTGAGAAGGTGGTGGAGGCCAAGACCGTCAGTAGTTTCAAAGCGTTATGACAAAGAGTGCTGGGAAGACGGGACACCACGAGCGTAGCTCTCATCCTGTAACTACCCTTAGGTAATTACACTTAGGTAATTACACACAGTTGATTGACAGTTGAGAGGCGAGACCAAAGAGCCAAAGCTCAACCCCCGCAAGCACCAATAGGTGAGTACAAATAGGTGAGTACACACATATACACAGTATATACATTTTTATTGATTGATTAATTATGCTCTGTAGAATACAATATTGATGACCACTAGTGTTTGTTTTGTAGGAGTTTGTGAGAGGACATAATGATTGCCAGGAAGCATTGGTAGCCCAAGTGTTAGAGTGGGGTGGGCAGCTGGGTGGACTCCTTGCTCCTCACTTTACTCCAGCAGTCGTTCCCATCCGCACCTTCCTCACGCTCTACTCTTCCCTCAGTCCACACGCATCGCTTGCTCCAGACCACACCTTCATGCTTCTCTCTAAGGTAACTCCGTGATAGTCCTATCGTAAATCGGTATGTATTCCAGCTGCTGATAAAATTAATGTGTATACTGTATATATAATGTCATGAAATAAATATAACTTTAAAAAATATATGATTATTTTCCTGCTTTATGACAACTAAAAACTGTTCTTGAACTTTTGGATTACAGTATGCAGTTGTATTTCTTACATATTTACAGTACTGTTTTTTTTCTCTATGCTCAGTATTATTTGTTAACCCTTCGGCTGCACCCTACCCAGGCTCACCCATATACATTACATAATTTTTTTAATAGTTTGTGTACATAAAATGCTCAAATTGTACTTGAAATGACAGGAAACAATAGGAAAAACTACACGTGACCGTACTGTTGGTGCGTGACAGTTACATAGGAGACAGTCTGGATGCACAGGTTATATTACATAACAAAATATTAACTGCACAGTATTTGCACATGTATACATTTTGTGTATGTCATGTAAGAGGTCAGATAATCTTTATATAACTAAAATTCCATTTCATTGATTTGAAAACTTTTGCAGGGATTCCTACAGCATAATTTCTTCTAGGACACTATGATCAGATCTTGACTATTATCATTTTTATACTCCCATTGTTCTCGTTCACCTTTTCATGCATTCACTCCTTTGTTGTCATTTACCTTTTCCTGCATTCACTCCTCCTCTAGCCCCATTTACTTTCTACTAAATATCACAAATTTTATAGAAATGTTAGACATCATTTGTTTTCAGTGTTTAAATTCAATGTTAATTCATTGCCAGTTTGACATTGAGAATTGGATTTCAAATGCTCATCCGAATAGCAGTGAGCAGACTGAACTTATTAATGCTGTAGGGACAGCTCTCTCATCACTTCTGCAACAGTCACACACAAGCCTTCTTGTGGTTCTTGAGGTAAGCAAATTCTGACAACATTCACTTTGTCTCCTACATAGAGCATTTATATCTGTTGAAGCTTTTCTAATTGTTAAAACAGTCGATACTCAAATATAATCACGAAAAATAAACATGTGATTAAAAATGTGACAGTGTCAGACCACGGAGGAAGAATTGAAACAGGAATTTCTTTAAGTACTTTCGTATATTAATACATCTTCCTTCTGAAGATGTATTAATATACGAAAGTACTTAAGGAAATTCCTGTTTCAATTCTTTCTCCATGGTCTGACACTGTCATTCATATATATATAATATAATATAATATATAATATAAAAAATGTGTGTGTGCGTACTTGTCCAATATTTACCTGTTTATTATAAATAACAAATACCTGTATACATCAAGTTTATTTGTTAATGTTTAGCAGCTAATTTTACTCTTTGGATTAAGAAGCCTGTTTAAATTTTTGATGCCATGCTTCCTCTGGAAACCTCTCATTCAAGAAGGGCCGGTCATGCACACACTACTTTGCATATGTTTGATAATACAAACCACCTTAATATATTAAAATGAAGGTCATGAAAAATTTCTCAGACTCCCACATGCTCGTCACATCGTCACAAATGGGTTAAAAAGATACGTGTAAAACTTAAACAAGGTAATGGAAAATACAAATAGGGAGAACAGCATTGACAAAGCAGAATGGAGATGGAAAGAAAATAGGAGACCTTTGCGTCACAGTAGTGTGGGTGTACCCTAGGAAAAGGGCCACCAACGGTTACATGAGTACCCCCATTTTATTTCCTGGCAGTAGTGCTGCCTCTGACTATTGCACTCAACCAGTCTTCTGTCTGCAAGAAATATGAATTTCTAGCTTTTTAACAGTAAAACATTGAAATATGTTTGTGATATGTCAGATCATAAATTTTATATTATATGCAGCTACTCTCTAAGGTAAGAACTGTTGTGCATATTGGACAGGAACATGCACAGTCAAACGGAATGACATAATGGTACTGGCACCACAGGGAATGTTTCAAGGGATATTTAGGGTTATTATAGGTGCTAGGAAGCCACTAGATAACACTCAGGTCATCCTAGAATGACTGATGGAAGACCTTTTGTAAAAGCTGAAAATCTTTTAAACCTTTCCTTGGCATGCCTACCACCACCAGATGGTAGTCCCACACAAATCTGTGTGTTCCTAAAGAATGCCACATACTACTAGACTATGTCTGATGTCAGTCAGCAGACAGGGTCTTGAATTTTAGTTCAGGTGTGGCCTAATTTCTATGTTTTAGATCTCTGAAGTCTGTGCTCCAGGCTAAGATTCAAGTCTCTGCACTGATTATTTCTGCACTGTGCTCCATTCAGGGGCTCAGCGACAGTTCTGAGCAACAGTGACTTTGGTGTGAGCCCAGTTAAGTACATTCACAGTCCTCTGAAACATAGTCCAGTAACATGAGTATTTGTTGCCATGCACAAAGTACGTTCAACTGGTACTTCACCTTGTATGTGTAGACAAATATTGCCAGTATACCTAGTAGGTCACTCCTTTATTTTTGTGTTTCTTTTACTGTCATCGGTATCTCTCGCCTTATGTTGTGTGTGGCAGGTTTGGAGTTGCCAAGTACTCACACCTTGGCACCTAGGTTGCTTCCACTTATTTTTGGCCAGAAGTGGAGAGTGAATTGCTGATTTTTTCATCACATGTCTGATGTGCAGACATGCAGTATTAGATCAATTTGAAAGGTTTCCCTGTTGTGTTCCTGACCATTCTCTTTTAGAGGAAAATGGTAGTTAAGGCTTGAGCAACATTCTACCCATTATATAAGGTCTTTCAATAAAGGTCTGCTTTTTCCTAGTGCTCACGGACTGGGGGTCGAGGCCTCCTTTTTTCCAAACTCCTGTTAATGGTAGAGGTTTGATTACTCTTTTTCTCTTGATTGAGTTGCTGCCTACTGCTACAAACCTGTCCTGTTTGGGTAAGCAAATCCCACCCTGTATTGTAGAGGCTGTATTATGGTCGGTACTTCTTTGTCCATTTTTTTGTGGTTTTTGTGGTATGCCCAGTAAGTGTTGGGAGAAGGTTCCCAACTTTTCATCAAGTTTTGGAGTCTAAAATTGTTGGCAGTGCAGATAGTCTTGTGGTCTGTCTTGAACTTCATTGACAAATACCCCCAGGAGTTTGATTGGGTCTAGCCAGCCTACTGCACTGCTTCTCCATGCTCACATGTAGATGTTACCTTTGGGGTGGATTTCCATCATCTGTCATCTTTGGTGGAGAAGACATTGTATTTCTTTTTATATAAAATCCTTGAGTGTGCCTAGCACCATTATGACTCGCCAGAGATTGTTTAAAAAGATCTATACTGTACTGATGTAGGATATCAGCCTGTTCAGAATAAGCCTAAACCTGTCCTAGAGCCAGGAAGATCTTTGCAATAGGGATCAGCTGAGTCACTTGTTCAGAAAATTGTCTTTATTTTAATAATTGTTTCTTTTTAACTTATAACCGAAGTTAAAAATTTGAGCATACTGTTTATCATTTAATTTTGATTTTAATGTTATATGCAAGACATTTTTAGAATTTGTTAATGTCAACGAATATTATATTAAAATTTATATTTTCCCAGCTTTACCGTGTGCATCTTCGGATTTTACTGAACTATAAGTTCCCAGATCATTACACCGAGGTGCTGGGTATCCTGCTACATATATCATCTACCACACAGGTGACTTGTTCATTTACTTGAAGTATTTTTTACATAGTTACTATGTTACTATGTTGAAAGATGCATTTTCACTGACATATAGTATATAAATTAAGCTATTTGAAGAATTGCAATACAACACAAGTTAACATTTTCAGGAGGATTGCGGAGGCTTTAGTACTGCCTTGTGGTATGACCTGATAAACACACTATCTGTGGGTATCTGTCACTTCTCCCCAGACATGGATCGCATGGCTCTTATTCAAGCCATAAGAGATTTTGCTCAGCATCAAAGTAGGCTTTCACAGTCTATGGTTAGTATTCAAATTATTGTATTGTATCTTGTTTAAAGAACTGTGTTAAAACTAAATTATTGAACTGTCTTCACAATATAATATATATATATATATATATATATATATATATATATATATATATATATATATATATATATATATATATATATATATATATATATATATATATATATATTTATTTATTTATTTATTTATTTATTGATTTTTGGTTTCAGGTGGATGATACTCTGAAGATGCTTTCGAGCTACTTTGTGAATCAGCGTCTTGAGTTTGGGTTATATGGACTATATCCCAAATACCAGCTACACATCCAGCCCATCTCTGTCTTTCTCAGTCTGATCTCTCACACGTACATTGTCACAACCTTCCACACCAGTTGGGGAGCTCCTCAGGATGAAAGTAAGCTCTTGTACCAGAACGTTGCGTACAGTGTAAACTCAAGTATTCGTGTTAATTGGTACCAAATGCACTTTACATTTTTTCCATATTTCACAATCTTTGAACATTTTTGCTATTGTCATCCAGCACAATGTGACAACACTCAACATAAGACGCTCAACATCTAAAAATAATGGAAGTGACTACATTTTGGTCCATCTTGGACCATTATTAAGTTCTGGACCAGAATGTAGTCACTTCCTTTATTTTCAGATGTATAGATTAGGTGTCTAATCCTAGCCATGTTATTGTAACTTACTGTCTGCACTCAACACAAAATTAATTAACAAAATTGAATTATACAATTACATTTTTTTATTTAACGTCTGAAATCACTGATTATATTAATCTGCTTAATATTAGTAGTTCGAGAAGTTTGGGCAGCAGTTGAGAGCTTGTGGGCCGGATGGGTGGCACCTCTTGGGGGTCATGATCGGCAGTCATTCCCAGCTTGGCTGCGGCACCTCACGCATGATATTAGGTTGCTGCTTCCATGGGCTCCAAGTGACACTTCATCAGCTGACATAATGGTTGCCATGTTCTGCTCTTCACTTGAATTTATGCACGAGCATTTGCCAGGTGAGTTTTGCTGCTGTAATTTTCTTTAAAAGTTATATATGGGTAAATGTCTGTCTATATGTGTAGCTCTCTATTACTCCAATGCTTTTCTGTTGCTTCTAAATGAGTGCCGTCTCATCATATGATATTGGGAAATGTGCTAATGTTGTCAGTGAAATGTGTATTATACATTTTATATTAAATTTCTGTTATAACAAGTGTTATTTGAAATTATGAAGTACTGTACAATAGTTTTAATTCCTTTATATAGGCATATGACTTGCTTTTTCTCATTACAGGGAGTTCAAGTGTTTTATCCTTAACATTGGAGTACTACAGTGTGACATTTGCCATGAGAGAGGTGAAGAGTCATGTGCTGGTGGCCGTTCATAATCATCTGTCAGCTCTACCGTGGCACCATTTCCACCCTTCTCTCCAGGACACACTCATCTTCTCCAAGGTGTCTTCTCCCACACTGATGTTTGCCAACCAGTTACATTATTTTCACCCATAAGGAACATTATGCAGCTCTTGATATTTTCCAAAAGACTTATTCTCTGATATTTGAAAATCATGACTCCCATAGTCACTTATATGTGAGCAATAATAAATATGTAGCCCTCAGGTTCAGTAATTTAACTTTATAAAGATTAGTATATACAACTAGTCAGTGGTAATAGTTCACTTCAATTCAGTGAAGTAGAGTATGTTGATATCAAGCAGTGCATAACATACTAGCTGTACATACCATAACTTTTCCTTACATATAGTGCATGTTCTTTTATTTATACTATACATTGTTTGAAGTGAAAGTGTCATATATTTTATCTCATCATCTACAGTATTGAGATTAAAGCATAAATTTTGGGGTCGAGTGTGGGTATTATCAAGCAATAACAATGCTTTACCATCACCATGCCTCTCTTCCCAATTATTTTTGTGATAATCTCAAAGCTATTTATAGATAGCTCCTTGAAATTTAAGAGGAAATGGAAGCAAAGAAAAATGGGGGATTAGTGTTGTATGAATTGATGAGAAGTATGTCAGTGTATCGTGTCTGACAGAATGTTGCATTATTGCATTTCTTAAATACTAATCCCAAAAGACCTAATTGCAGGTGGTGGAACAGTACCTTCCAGAGTGTCACAGTTTCATTGGTGGTGTGCTTGTGCAGATCAACTGGAGCAAGGTGCTGCAAGCAATTCTTACAGCTGGTACAGCTGTTAATTACACTCAACCTCCAGATCTCTCTCAGTAAGATGTAGCATGAGTACATAATATTTTGTCTGATATTTAACAAATGTTTGTTACTTTGACACCTTGTCTGCTGTGACAGCTCTCTTGCTTGATGTTGTGACCTAATTTTCTCCAGATATTTCATATGCCTTCACTTGTTAAGAGTTTGAATGAAGGCCTCTCTCGAGGTTATCTTGAGATGATTTCGGGGGCTTTCAGTGTCCCCGCGGCCCGGTCCTCGACCAGGCCTCCATCCCCAGGAAGCAGCCCGTGACAGCTGACTAACACCCAGGTACCTATTTTACTGCTAGGTAACAGGGGCATAGGATGAAAGAAACTCTGCCCATTGTTTCTCGCCGGCGCCCGGGTTCGAACCCGGGACCACAGGATCACAAGTCCAGCGTGCTGTCTGCTCGGCTGACCGGCTCAGCCTGAATAATTTTTTAATTGGACCCATTGCCTCGGCAGACCACCATGTGACTATGAGATTTCTGTTGTTGGGAATAGGAAGCTTGTCCCCGAAGGCTTGTATTGAGGTCTCCCCCTAGGTCGAATACTGACCTTTTTCAGGATGCAATCAACAACAGTTGCTTAATTCCTGTGTACTAATTTACTGCTAGTTGAACAGAGGCATCAGATGAAAGATCTGTCCCACCTGGGAATTGGTAGGGACAAAAGAAACTTTCCAATAGTGAGGAATAGATGTCTAAGTTGGTCTTGTCATAATGGTTCTTAATTGAGCAACTGAGGTCCCTTGGGCTGCTCCCCTCATAAGGAGTGTTGACATATCTGAGCTTACAAAAAGTGAGCCCAAACCCATGTTCTTTTTTCTGTATTTATTCCTAATTTCCTGTATTCATGTATTGGGATATGTTGTGTACAAGTATTGAATATAATTTTTTCTCGCAAACTGTTTGTACATTTTAATATTTGTTACCCCTACTAAACAAAATATATCCTAAAGCTACACTGTTTAGAGTTAAACTAAACTCTAAAGTCTGTAGTCCCCATGGTAAAGTGGTGACACACTCGCCTGACGTTTCGTGAGCGCTTTGGCCTTGATTCGTATCCTGGTCAGGGGAGGATTGACTGGGGTGCCAATCCTTGACGGTAGCCTCTGTTCACCCAGCAGTGAATGGGTACCTGGTTATTAAACAATTTGGCGGGTCATATTCCAGGGTAAAATTAGGATTAAGGACTTGCCTGAAACACTATGCATGCAAGTGGCTCAACAAGAATGTAAGATTCTTGTGTATACAGGTATAAATAAATACAAAAAACTTTTAATTTCCAGTATCCTGTTCCACATTCATTGTGACATATGCGTTCCTTTATTATTCTGTTATTTTATTAGTGTATCTATTTTCAAGCACTTCAGTAATCACTTGCCAGGAAGCACACTACCTTAGTGTTCAGCTTGATTATGTGTAAAATACAATTCTGGTTATCTGGGCATCAGCTGGTCCTGACCCTTTTGATCACTTGAGGTGTGAACGTTATGTTTCTGGACTAAATAGTATATTGTACATTTTGAAAATGCTACTAGTTATTAAAGTGAAGTGCAGTATCTTGTCAGAGACTTGATGTCTGGTAACTAAAGTCTCTCAAAGGGTATTGCATTATCTCTACATTGGTGCATTATACATGGAAGAATGTAATTATTGTTGCAGTGTGTGACACATTGTTTACCGAAGACCTGAGACACCCCTAGTTTATTCCACAGGGTCAGATTACTAATTCTGCTTCTCTGAGACAGTACAAAAACAGCCCAGTGATACTTTGGTTGACATTTTGATTCAATGAATAGATTCTTGGTACAGGCAGTTCTCACCATAAGGTACGACATGTGCATCAGCAACAACTTGCACACTCTTCCATCTATTGTGCAGCGCGGTAATAGATGATACAATATTTTGTAAGGAAGTTTCATTAGACTTTTACAACCTTTAGTGTTCTCAAAATATCTAGTCTAGTAATGTTTTAATTGATTTATTCATTGGTGTGTATGGATTTATAATTATTTTTTTATTTTTAACAGCAAAGACAGCAGTCAAGAGGCAAATCCTACCCACATAGACATTTGCGATTCTTCGCAGCCTGCAGCTAAGATGCACACATGCCTCCTGAACCTTCTTGTGAGGATATCTATGGAACCTAGTATAAGACAGGCAAGTTTTTATTTGAATTAAGTATTAACGTTTTATATTGTTTTTTAATTTGACTGAAGTTATATTTTGCTAGTCATTCTTGTATTTATAAATGTTCCAGACTTAAAAGACTTGTTGAACATTCATAGGTGTGTCAATAAAGAAAGTGGCTGAGTGCGTGTACCTATAATTGGTGTAACCGATTGTACTTGGTAGTTACTATCTTTCGTGAAGAGTCACTCTCTTTGGTGTATCGGTACTGTGTGTACATCTGCTCTCCACTTTCACTTGGATTGTTTCACGGTGGTCTATTAGATAGACAGCGGGGCGGCGACGTGTGACGTCATGATTGTTTGCTCGTTTATTTTAGGGGAGTTCTATCCACTTGTTCGGCCTGTGGTAGCAATTTTCACCAGAATAGGGGTTTGTTTTGGGACGCTTACCTTTCTGGGTGCCTGACCCAGTCAATGGCAGACGTAGAATGCTTCCAACCACACGGGGGTTTCTATATGCCATTGCTCCCCTTGCCTCTTCTGAAGGTGCCAGGTTCTGGCTCGTGGTCCCCGGTAGGCCCATAGAACTCCATTCACATGACTGATGCCAAAGTCTGACATTAGCATATCAGCCTAGTAAGCTCCAGGAAGCCTCCGGGTCTCACCCAGAAAATGGCGTTTCATTACATTCAATGCTGGTTTTTTTGCCTTTCCTCTTCCCTGAGGATTTTGTCTCCCAAATTATTTCGATTACTGCAATTTCTTATTCATCAGTGAGAATGCTTCGAGGCATTTTCCTTGAACTTTCCCATTATATGTAAAGTGTTGCTGACTTTCTGGATGCTTTCCCAGAGGGATGGTAGATTCACTCATTCCCTTGGTCTCTGTGAGGAAGTGACAAGGTTCTGGCTCTGATCCCTGATAGGCCAAACAGAACTCCACTGACTGATGTGACCCCCCTGTAGTTTAGAAATCCCAGCAAGATAGTTTCAGAGAACCACTCGGGCTCTACCAGAAAGAGGTAATTTCATTACATTCAACACTTGGTTTTTGTATGACTTTCCCTTTTGAGCTAAAGATGTATGCAAGGCATTTTAAGGAATTTCATACATTCAAATATTTCCTCGTTCCATAATTTCTAATCTTTTTATTTAGCTTGTATTCAAATTCATTGTAGCTCACATTGAGAGATGTTTGGCTGAGTTACTGTGCATTATGTTTACAGTTCTGTTTTGGCACTTGGCGGTCAACTTTATAGGTTTTTATTTTTGTAATTATTTTAGGCTATGCCTTTTTTTATAGGTTTTATATTAAACCTATAAAACTAATTAAAATTTCCAAAATCAGTTCCAAAATCACTTTCGCGCTCTCCGCAAAGGTCACTCAGCCAACCGAATGTGCGCGCTGCGTTTTTATCGCTTAAGCGTAAAAACAAAAATGTGTATACTCTTTTTACTCTTCTGACCTTAGTTCTCATGCTACGTATTTCATTTTGGTACCAACGTGTTCGCAATAAAATTCTCTAGAAGAACATTAGTAAAATAAGTCACGAAACATATAGGGATACCAGCACCAAATAAATAACTACGTAGATGACTCGCCGTGAGCGCCCATCAGCAACAAAATGTTTTTACTCTTGGGATTGTAATCACCTCCACACTTGTTCTACAGCATTAATTTTGGTATCAATGGACTCGCAATGAAATTCCCAACACGGTGATATGAATATAAGCGTAGAATAATGATGCAGCCCGCCCGCAAGAGTGTGGGAAGTGGTGAAATTGTTTCCCGGTATCGGTGACGGGACGACGCACGGCGCTTTGAAAGTTTATACTTATTTCACTCTCATGACATTAATTTTCTATGTACGTCATTCATTTTTATGTCAATGTGTTCGCAATAGAATGTTCTATGTGCCCATAGGTAAAAAATATCAACAAAGCGTAAGTTAGAATAGCGACAAATATAAAACAACGCTGGAACATATCAGTGAGCGTCAAACACACACGAAATATTTTTACTTTTGTTATGTTTGTCAAGATTATACTTGTTGCACACAGTTATTTTTGGTTTTATATTGATCGGAATAAAATTCCCTAAACAGACTTTGCATATAATACATGATATGGGGGAAGAATTACCAGTATAAACGGCTAAAGTCACCCACCTGCAACCCGTTTGGGACAAAATACCATTTGATCGAAGTTATCCACACCTTTCATGAACTTATTGTACCATGCAGCCTAGTGGTGAGAAAGAGAGCCTCATAGCGCGCAGTTTGAAACAAACCCAAAGTAAATCGGATAAAAATTGAATTTTATACAAATATTTTAAAAGTAGACATAACTTTATGTCCACTATGCGTTTACGTTAGACGAAACCGAACGCGCCGGCGCGTCCAGATAGCGCGAAAGTGTTAAACAAGTGATTTTGGAACTGTGTATACCTTCTCATTTTACTATGAAAGGCCTTGAAAAGGTATAGAATTTAAGTGTACCTGGTGAATAGGAACTTTGTAATTTTGATCATGGATATAAATTAGCCCTTGTCATATGCTGTAGCTATATGTAAATCTTATTTTAATAAATTTCTGTATATTACCATTTACAGTCACCACTACTACAAACACTGCTGTTAGAGGCTGAAATGTTCTCATGGTGGCTTGTTGATGGTAACAGCTTCCAGCGTGTTGTTAATTGGTGGGTGATGAGTTGTGACCCACGTATTGTTCTTACGCTGCCTGACCGTAACCCCGTTGATATTGCCATCATAGAGTAAGTATTGCTAATTGGAATTCATTTCTGCATTCTAAGAGAATGACAGGGCTTGTGTTCCTACCGATGTTTGTTTGGAGTTAGTGGATTATATCATGGGGGATTACTGTGTATCACTTTAGAGAACATGGTTCTCAAGCCATGGTTCTCAAGCCATGCCTCAGGCCGGGCCTCGGGAGTAGAAGAACTCCCAGAACCCCATCAAGCAGGTTTAATGATTCTTTAAATTTCCTGTGACTATGACTGTTTTTCTATAAAACTGTAAATAGAATAAGCCCTAACTGCCTCTGTAGATCATACCATGTGAGCATGCTAATAACACAATGAAGGAGTACTTTGTTACTTCTCCCTGACTAATTTGTGTTTTCAGTTTCAACTTGTGTCCTCTCATCTGGAGCAATGTGCCTAGCCACTTTCTCTCAGAATATTTAATGTTGTGATCATGTCTCTTCTGTCTTGCCTGGAAATTTAACCCAGAACTCCTGGTTGCAAGCAGTCAACACATACCACTGCTCTATAAAACTCATAAAGTTGTGAAAAATCCTCAAAGTTTGGGTTGTGATATGAAGAATGAAATAATTTACTATAATGAGAGATACTGCAGGAAGTACAAAACAAATCCAATGTAGAGTAAATACTGAACAGTAAAAGAAATACAGTAGTGTAATAACAAAGGTTGAATGTGTCAAGAAGAAACTAGACGGCCTTCTGCAGAAAATCAGCCAAATTGTAATTTGTACGAGGGCCTGCATGCTGTGTCCAGTATAATAGCTTCACTTATCAGGTTGTCACCAGGTAAACCTGACATCATGACAGGTCTAGAGTAGAAAATAACTTGTAAAACTGCCCACAAGTATTATAATAATAATAATTTATTTAGGAAAAGTACATACATAGATGCAGAGTTACAGTACAAACATTGTTTGATTTATAGATAGAGGTAGTATATACAATACCTAAAGCCACTAGTACGCATAGCGTTTCGGTATTATTACATAATAGTAATAAACTGTACATTGTGAAAGAGAGACCCTTTGTAATTGAGGTGTAACTTGCATTATTGAGATTTGCTTCTTATTACAGTACAGTGCAGATATGAATGGTTTGGTGTAAATATGTAACCTATGCTCACACTTAATGCACCATAATTTTGAGGCCATAACCACAGCATTAAAATGCCAGTACTTTAGTGAAAGAAAAACACCCTAATATTATACATACTTCCTCTGACTAATGAGCATTGACCTTGGTAGGTTAGGTGGGTTGCCAAGGTTTCAACACTTCTAGTTAGGCAAGCACTTATAATTTGCTCATCCAATTGCGAGAACGAGGTGAAATATTGCATTTTTATTGAATGTAACACTTCCGTTGTGGAGAAAGTTTTACAATACTGTACTTATAAGACTTGTAGTGGAGATTAGATTTTCGTATTGTAAAAAATAGTTTGTAACTTAGTCATTTGTAGTGGACATAAGACATTCATAAATTAGTTAATACTTCACGTGTTCCTAAATTTATTTGTATTAATGTATGTTACTTGCTAAGTAGTGCCCACGTGATACTCCTATATAATTATTGTGTCCACCAGTGTTCTTCATCGTGCAGCAGGCTATACACCAGACACGTCTTCATTTCACCAAGACACAGCCGCCAAACGTGGTCTACTAGTTCGGGCTCTGGTACGACTGCTGACCTCAGCTGCTGCTCGACACAAGGTCCTACTCTCTGCTAAGCCGCATGTTTTTGCTGCCACCATCCATGGACTTCTTACCCATATGGAGAATACTCTTATTACCAGTCAGTACCCCAGTTGTTCTTGTTAGGTTTCATCCAGCACATTTGTTTGTATAAACATGAACAAAATCCAGCTTATTTTGTACATGTATTATGATGAATATGTTTTAAATAAATATATAGTATGTAGTGATAAATTTGAATGGTAAAATATATATTGTAGCGCAAACAACCAAGTGATGTTACAGCTTGGATAAAATAATTTTCTGAATAAATATATAGGAGAAAGTTTATCTGATAACAAATGCCTGCTAACCTCATAAAAGTGAGAAATAGAATAATGATATTCCAAAGTATACATCATTACAATATTTCTCACTTTTATGAGGTTGGCAGGTCTATTTATTTATTCAGAAAATTATTTTATCCTAGCTGTAACATCACTTGGTTGAAGATAGGAGCAACCATTTCCTGCAAATCTATAGCAACCAGACCACTGACACCTGGCTAATTACACTCCTGCCTACACATCACTGCCACCTCTGTCAATCAACCCAGGACTATAGGCCACTTTTATTTAGAATATCTATGACAAGACTACAGTTGGACAACTCTCATCACTTCACCAAGCACTGCCTATTCCACTAACCTTGGACAGCTTGCACCACTTTTGTTACATGCTCTTGCTGCCTACCCTATAATGTCACTGCCTACCATATCTACATGCGTGTGTGTGTGTGTACATACAACCTGTGAAACATTAAACACAGTCTAAAACCTGTTTTGACTTCTTGTTTGCATTGTTAGATTGCATGCGAGGACAAATTCCTTCAGCCATAGACTGTGATTAGTTGAGGCCGAGTTTTAAAGAGACTGTGCGGATATAATTTACTTGTATCCTGTGACCAGGCGACTTGTATTATCCCCATCATCATCCTACAAGATACGAGAATTCCTTGTGGCATTTCTGAGAGCAAACACATTTAACTATTACATGTGTTGCGTACCCATGTCTGTGACCATACTGTAATGTATATTGTGTTCTTGAGACACAGTGCTCCCTAGTCTCCTCATTTACCTGGCAGCCCATGCGAGTAAATAATCATCATTGATCTGATGGGGGCTTGCTAGCCTGTTCTACTCCTCTGGAACTACACTACTTCACACTTATTTAAACCTTAAGCTGCACATACCATTATATGATGGGGTGAGTAATTATGCTCAGACTGCACATCCCATCATATGATGGGGTGAGTAATTATGCTCAGACTGTGCATCCCATCATATGAAGTATTAGGGTATAGCGTAAGATTAAGACACTCCCATGGGTACGCCGGGCTCACATCAGCTTCTTCAGGCGATAAAGTAAGTTTTCCAATGATTGTTTCTTTACTATATAAATAAAATAATCTTTGAAAATAGGTTTATATATAAATATTGTGTATGATTCAGCTGTACCCAAAGATCAGCAGTGGAGTGAGGGAGGTGCGTTGAGTACAGAAGTTTTGGCTCTTGTTAGTGGTGGAGCATCATCAGCAGCTCTTCAAGAACTTGCAAGTTCAGCTGTAGTAACTTGGCTGCTAGATGAGCACCATCCTTCTCCAGGATTGCTTTTGCCTCTTCTTGCATCAGCTTCCCGAACTGTCCTCCACCTTAAGCATCGAAATCCCATCCTACAAGCTGGTCTGACTGCTCTCTTCAGACATGCAGGTAAGCTGGCAATTACTACTATATATTCAATTGAGAATTCATAAGAATTAAAAGTAACTTGCTATGAATTGCTTAGTTTTATGGCTCACCTTTGACATAATGAAGTACTGTCTCATATCTGACCATATAAACTACTGTATAGTACTGTACATGTACCTGCATATATGAAACATCTGTAGATGGTTAATACACACTGTTTATCATATGTTAATTTCAGATTGGTCTGGCTGGGAAAGAGAAGTCACATGGGAACGTGTTGTGTCCGTGTTGTCATTTCCTCTAACCAACCCAACAGCTATGCTAAACCTGGCTGCACAGGTACAATGTTTTCAAATCTTTTATTCGTATAATAAAATTTTATCATATGTCTTAATCAGTTAGAAAATGTGCTAGACATTAAATCTTTATTCAAGATGTATGTTAATTTTAGAGTATTTAATACACACTTTAAATATTTTCTATATTTCTAGTTATGACACATTTGTATATTTCTATTTATGATACAGCTTTGTCCTTTGAGAATCAGATATATATTTGCCATATCAGTACCCTTTTTACACATGTTTTATTTTAATAAGTATCTTAGATATGAGCTTAACACAACATGAAGTTATTAAGGCTCTTTCGTGGAAACCTTTTGATAACTATCTCAATACATATTGCAGATACAGACTTGATTGTTAGGTCTAGTTATAAACAGCTCCTCTTGTTATACATGCCATAATTTTTCCATAAAGGTATTAGTACTGTATTTTAAATTGTCAATCACATTATCGGGGAAATAAAAACATTTCATTCACATTGGTACTAGGAGACTCGAACTGCCGACCCCATGAGAGTGAGTGGGATCTCCTTTTTTTTCCATTCACTAGTGCCCACATTAATGAAATATACTATATTTTAAATACATTTGAACACAAATAATTTAGTGAGCTGCAAATACTGACAGTTTTACCTTATAGGAAATTATTGTACTAGAAAAGATACGGCTGTACTGGTAAAAGAGGAGGACATTTTTAATGAATTCATTAATAGAGGAACGAATGGAAATTAGTATTTTTCTAGAATTAGATTCTGTATAGTGCTGTATTTATAGTGCACAGAATAAACTACAAAGTTTAGTTGGTAATTTGTCTTATAATATGGTAGGTGTGTGCTCAAAATTATAAAGAATTTTAAATGTGCATAAATAACTATCAATGATACAAATTTCGAACTTGGAAAATTACAGAAAATATCACTGCCAAAAAGAAATGAGAAATAGTGGTATGAAGGTAAATACACAAGATGAGGATGAAAGTTCCCTGCAACATAAAAGAACGCTGTAGAAGAAGTGCCATTGTAAATAAATAGGGAAAGTGCATTGTAAATAAATAGGGAAAATGTCCCGTCGAGTGGTTAGAGATGCACACTACAGAGGGGACTCATGCAGCCAAGGCTGTCATTAAAAAGTTTAAGAACTTCATTAAAGTAAAAACAACTTGTCAAAAATATATACAGTGCTGTACTGTAAGCTGTGGTATTTCAAATGCAATTGTATGTAATTGTAACAGTATAGATATGCATTTACTAATTTGGTACAATGCAGATTTTTAGTTATACTCTAAAATACTAATTCCATTTTGATATATCCTTCAGGAATGTCATTTGCTTGTGGTCTATGCCCACACTTGCTGGCGGAGACAGCACACGCTTGGATGTGGAGACCTCCTCTTGCTTTTGACTTTTCTGTGTGAAATGTTGGAAACTCTAACACTCAAGTGAGTATATTTCACCCTTCAGTAGTCTAATATATTTGGTCTGATAATATTTCTGGGGGGAAAATCCTTCGGGTTTTGCCCAGAAAATGGTGTTTCATTACATTCAATGCTGGTTTTTTGGAAGCACTACCATGAACTTGTATCATCTTTAGTTATCATATTTCTCTAGATATATTCTTAGCTTCACCTCATATTGCCAATGCTTTTCAAAGCTTGTATTATTATGAGACACTAATGCTGTACAGTACTTATAATAAAGGTACCAAACTGAGACATGTAAGCATTTGTGATTTATTACATGAATCTACAGTGCATCCTAAACCCAATCTAATAATTAATTCAATCATGTTCTGATGAAAATATGTCATCTGACTAACCAGAGTCCCACATTTCCACGATGCAATATGACTCTTGCTAATTTTCACTAAACATATATTTGCATCATAATGTGACATACTGTTTAGATCATGCTCATTCTGAGTGAGTGGAGCTTAGCATATCATGTGATAAGCAGGTAATGTTCACTAATACAATACCTTGTAAACTCCAGGTACTGTATAAGCTGGAGTTTACCTGTTATAAGCTGTGGAGTTACCTGTCATGACTTCTGGTAAACTCCAGATACTGTATAAGCGTTGCTGCCCACACCTAATCATATACTGTATTTGTAGTAATTTCTGTTTATCCTTTAATAAGTAAGATTTTTGATGCTGCAATATATAATGGATATTGTATACAACCCCATCATAGAACAGCATGTGTAAATGAGTAAAAAGGAGTAAGCATTTGATAAAGAAATTTCAAACTACATCATTCTACTGTATTTAGCATATACAGTACTATAATCATTTTTTGTGTACTACAATTTATTTAATTTGTCCATGTAAAAAAAAGGTACATGGATTCCTAACTGAAACAAGCTGTCATGACTTATTATGAATGGAAGTATGGAATGTTTTGATTTTCCAATTTGGCACTCTAAAGTTATCTAGGAACAAAACACTACCAAGTTTTATTTATAGTTGAGTTTCCAACTGCCATCGCAGTTTTTCGTCTTATCCATGACTGTATTACATCATCTCTCACATTATCTTGTTCAGCGGTTTAAGTCCTTCTTGTATGCAACAGTGCTGAAATGGAAAATGGACTCGTTCTTCTACTTAGTGAAGTATTGAAGATAATGACTCACTTACTACAAGAGAAAGGAACCACAGAGCCAGTGTGGCAGCATTGCCAAGCTCTTACCTCTCAGTTGGCACTTTGGGCTGAGGATCGTGCAACTACTGGTATTTTGGCAGCTATAGGACTGGGACGCCAATCCCCACTGTCAGCTGGAGTTCGTCTTCTTTGCCGCACTCTTGGCACCTTCTTAAAATTGCAAATGCCTAGAGAAGGGGTATTTCGAACACACCCATTACACACCCATAGGTATGTATCATCTCTTGTGCCTCATCTTTCTAATATTAATTGAGGGAAGTTTAATTACAAAAACAAGTATGTACTGTATTAAGCAGTTATCTTGAGGTTATCTTGAGATGATTTCGGGGCTTTTTAGTGTCCCTGCGGCCCGGTCCTTGACCAGGCCTCCACCCCCAGGAAGCAGCCCGTGACAGCTGACTAACACCCAGGTACCTATTTTACTGCTAGGTAACAGGGGCATAGGGTGAAAGAAACTCTGCCCATTGTTTCTCGCCGGCGCCTGGGATCGAACCCAGGACCACAGGATCACAAGTCCAGTGTGCTGTCCGCTCGGCCGACCGGCTCCCCCCAGTTAGTTATACTAATAGTTAGTATAAGTTAGTCTTAGTTAGTATAATAGTTAGTTATAAGTTAGTTAATAGTTAGTCCAGTTAGTATACTAATATTAAATAATTATGCAGCATACAGTATATTTAATATACAATAATAAGATTCTTGTCATAAAGAGCATTTTTGTGTCGAATAATGTGTATAAGTAATCTTAGATATTATAGACAGCCCTAGATGCAAGACCTAAATTCCTTAATAAGAATAATATATTTTGATATACTTCACCAGTGATGTTGATGGTAGCCAAAGCAGTGTTGGAAGCGAGACTTGCACCCTAGAGCAGCTAAGAAGTTTACGTACGAACGCATCATATGCTGGGCTTGCTCACCCTCTAACACAAGCCATACAGGTACCCTTGTTATTTGTCATGCATTCATAATACTTTCAGGTAGAAGATTATTTAAAGTATTCCTTTACAGACATCTTGAAACAGCCTGTTAACATTATATCTTTTCAATATCCTCATAGGGATACTATGGTTCTTTTCTTGGGGAAGCCCCTACAGCTCCCCAGAACTATCCAGCCTGATATTGCTATAATAGACTTTGGCATAAGTCATGTGAATAGAGTTCTTAGGCCTTCCGGGGACCACGATCCAGAACCTTGCCCCCTCAGAGAGGCACAAGGAGCAATGGCCTATAGAAACCCCCACATGGTTGGAAGCATTCTATATCTGACATCGACCGGGTCAGGCACCCAGAAAGGTAAGCGCCCCAAAACAAACCCCTATTTTGATTAAGAAATTGCTTCTGAAAGCCAAACTAGTGGACAGAACTCCCCAAACAAAAATGAGCAAATGAGTATGATGTCACCATGTCGCTGCCCTGCTGTCTGTGCAGCTCCTCCCCTCCCTGGGAGGGGGAAGGGGGAACTCCAGACCCCTCATGCCTGCTACCCAAACCCTAGTTCTGAGGCTGGATATAAAAAACACGCAAAAAAACGCCAGCAGGAGGGAGAGACGGTTGCCTGGGAGCCTCCGGGTTTCACCCAGAAAATGGTGTTTCATTACATTTAATGCTGGTTTTCAAGTTATGGGGGGGTGTTGCCCCCTACGGCTTCCCAGAGTTATTTACCAAAAAACGAAAACAAGAAGGACTTGCCCAGGAGGCAGTCGCTGCTCGCTCCTCAACACGAAGTAGAGACAGCTGGCTGCAACCGCCGACCCAAAGCAACACAGGTCTAACTAGGCCCAGGAACATTCACCAGGTAACAAGCAGCCAGGACCCTGTTCGACTGCCAAAAACCCAGTGCCTGAATGTCAGTCCTAGACATGTTACTGAAGACGGCAGCAAGCGCAGCAAACTTACGAACGTCGTGGGCATGGGAATAGACTTATCCCCATGCCCACATGTCTTTCTCCAACATGTGCCTTTTCTTTTTTTTTATTCCTTCCACTGTGCAACACAGCTGGGGATGATCTCGCTAATTATCCATAAACTGTGTAACATGGCTGGGGAAGTTTTAAAGTACTGTACAAGATTTAAAACTCCCGCAGGTACACAGGGCTCACATCTGCTTCTTCAGGCCTCCAGTATACAGACATTATCTTGGAGAAAAGTCACAGGCAACCCCTCCTATGTGCAAGAGCCTCAGTACTGAGAGGGCAACCATGAGTAGTACATGCAGCTCATGTGCATCACTTAATGATGAAATAAATAAGTAACTGCAATTTGTTACCAATGATGGTGTCATAGAACATCCTAATTGTGATTAAAAGCTATGTACAAGGATCAGATAACGGTGAACCCAATGCTGGTTACGAGGTTCATAGCATAAGACAGACTTCTGCAGCACACAGCCATAGTTTCGTGGGTCTATACATCATGAAACTTGTGGGAAATGATTCATATTCAGGATTTAGTGACCAGGATTCTGTTAAAATAGCAGTGTTGTGGCTAAAGCTAGTAATGTGCGGAGTATATTGGGAGGCCTTTTGCCGTGTCGGGTGCCGTCGGCAAATAACTAGCATGTGGTGCTATGCTGTACATGGCTTATAAAATTACCACACCCACCCAAACTGCTTAGTGGGTTTTTTTTATGTGCATTAAAATGTAGATAGTTATATATATAACATTTATATACAGTGTAATAACGGCAAAAACAGTATGTTTTATTATTCAACAATGATATTGTGAACATGTTAGTGACATGAATATACTGTATATGTGCATGCATATGTTCTACACATGCTATGATACAAATAACATTATTGACAACCCAGTACATCATTGTACATGAAAAACAATAGTAAAAGCATTAAAAAGTTATTACATCCACCAGAACTTCTTAGTGGTTTGCAATGGTGCATAAAAATGTAGCTATATATAACGTGTATATACAGTATACTAATAGCAAAAACTGTGTGTTTTAATGTTCAAAGAACATAATATTGTGCGCATGTTAGTGACATAAAAGTGACATGCATATTTGAACATATTGTACAGATGTTCCACATATTTTATTAGATAAATTTCTCAACTGACACTATTCAATTTTACTGCAAGAAACCAGAGGAAACCAAATCGGTGGCATTGAAATAAATAAGTAAAAAGATCTTCGTGACAACTCCCTCCCCACACCTGGGGCCAGATTCACGAAAGCACTTACGCAAGCACTTATGAACGTGTACATCTTTTCTCAATCTTTAACAGCTTTGGTTACATTTATTAAATTGTTTATGAGCATGAAAACTTCCCATTCAACTGTTGTTATTGTTATAAACAGCCTCCTGGTGCTTCGGAGCTCATTAACTGTTTAATAATTGGAAACAGAGCCGCCAAAGATTGAGAAAAGATGTACAGGTTCGTAAGTGTTTGCGTAAGTGCTTTCGTGAATCTGGCCCCTGGCCTGTGGCGATCATCACTGAGCAATTGCTCCATGAATGCTTATCAATTGTGACATCCTCACTTCATCATAGACAAAGTCAGCCAGAATTGTTTTCTTCCCGTGATCTAGGAATGCATTTTAATTTAATAATAGCAGGACAACGTAAAAAAAAAAATTCCCTGTGCACCAGGGCATTGTCTCCTACAAACAGGAGCATAGCCCAAGGGCCAAAGTGAATGGCTTCAATTGTGAAAAATATTAAAATGCATATTTACATTGTTATTCAATGAATGTTGAATTTTGGAGTTAATTAAATGGCTATATTTTTGTCAGTGTGTGTGCACTCTTCCACTACATCACTGACTGCAAATATACTGTATTGTAATTTACCTATTTGTCTAACATAAAATAATACTCTCTATTTCACACAGTTCATAGAAGATCCAGCCCATTGTTTACCAGATGTCCATATTCTATTGGCTAGACTTGTAGCAGATATACTCCCTGATCCTGTTCTGCACCATCTGACTGTTCCCTTTTGGGGTACTGTTCCATCTGCACCGCCACAATCACCACATGACTGCCCAGAACATGTATTGCTATCAGATACTACTGCATCAGCTCCACCTTCCTAGCATTTCAATGTTTATTAAAAGCACTGCAATCATGTAGGTATTTGTATATTAAATTTTTTTCTGGGGTGGTCTCAAAGGCTTCCCAGAGCTTATGCACTGGACCCCATGGTCAATATTATCATAGATATCACCAGGCATCTAAGACTCATTGTTTGCAGGAAGCAGAATCTTGCACTCCCCTATCCTTAGAGATAGGAAAGCTCAAGGTGTCATAAGGGCACCATGCTCCAAGTTAAAACCCTGCCAAAATGAAAGCCAAGAGGAATCACAAAAACTCTAAAAAAAAAAAACTCCTATACAGAAATATTTGGTATGAGTGAACACCAAGCAAAACTCAAACCATATAAAAAAATGCTGCTTTCCCAGATGGCATTATTAGTCAACCAGAAGTTCTGGCACCACTCTGCCGTTCGCTCTCACCTGGCGCCTGGCTATCGGCCATATTTACAGACTATTATGCTAAGTGACTGGATTCAGTTGTTTTTAGTAGTAGTGTGTCATTTTATTGTGCTCTTAAGTAAAGCTGTCATACAGGTTGTTCATTCACTACCCTGAGCATATATGTTAAAACTGCCATCCTGTCTTTATAGGACCGTTGTGATCATTAATGCCTTCGCTACCTTGCATGGTCCATGCAACATCTTGCATCTTACTTATGCTGTATTTTGACTGTTTCCTCTTGCCACCTTCCTTCCTTCCTTTTTATTATGGATGTCTCGCTTGCAAGATTTCCTCAGTTATGTTTGCAATCTTTCTCTCCTTGTATCATTCCATCCTTGCCCCCTTGGAGGGTTCAACTTGCAAAGTTTAGCAAGATTTTGACCTACATGATAAAGGAGCTTATACCTCTTCCTTTAATGCTTTTCTTCACACTCAGACTGTTGCCCTATTCACAGATGGCTTGCCAACAATGTCAGCTACTCCATAGTCTTTCCTGACAAAACCTGTATATGCTGCCTAGCTCCACAGACTAGCATCTTTATGGTGGAACTTTCTGCAAAATTTGTATGCTCTTCATTAACTGCTTTCTGGACATCAATGCTCCTTTGCCATTGTGGTCGACTTTCACAGTACCCTCATGGCTCTAGTCATTTAACCCTATACATCCTGTGGTGGTCGAAATTCAATATTGTCATTTCTTATGTCTAGCAGATTTGAGACAATTGAGTTTTGCTGGGTTCCTAGCCATGTTGCTATTATCTTAAGTGAATATACAGACACTGCTGTTAAGGAGGCAGTGTCTTATTTCCCAAAATGGCATTCCTTATTCAGATTTCTATTCAGTCATTCATTTCTCAATCTATGACCGCTGGTAGGGTCATTAGTCTGGGGTTACAGGTAACTAACTACACACACTTAGGGGTCAAGGCCAAGGGGTTGGGTAACCTGACTCCTTGGCCTTGCTTCTGCCTCCATAATAGATGGTGTGAAATGGCTTTGGCTAGGTTATGTATCCATACACAGAGGTGAGGTTCACCTGCTGTAGCCAATGTTAGACTTCTTTTTTTCTGTGGTACTGCCTCTCCTCAGTTTGGTATGGGCTACTTTCAGGTCATATGGGTGATGATGGCCTTTGTGGGTGGTTCTGACTTACCCTGTAGGGTATTTCCCAGCAGGCAGTAATGTGCTTTTTAATTTATTTTAATTATTTATATTGAATTTGTTTTAATTGATATTTATTATTACTTCAAGGTGGACTGTATTTTAATATTTATCCTGCTGGATGTTTTACTTGAGCACAAGTAGGGGTTTTATTGTACATAGTTTATACCACAATCGGTGGTTATAATAAACTACAGTATGTTTGTTAGTACTATTGTAAAATTATAATGTTATATTGTAAATGGATTAGCATAATAGCTAAGATTGGGTTAATTATAACTGTTATGTCTTAGCAGGTTTTGTTGTTATGGCCTGATTTAGCAGTGTGTGAGAGCTGGTCCTTAAACATCAGACTTTGATATGCCACATGTGGACCGTCTGGTCCTGTTAATGGCGGCTAGCTCTGTTAATTGCAGCTGTTGGGGGCAGCCAGAGCTTGTAAGGCGTCTGTTCAGTATCTTGCAGGTGTAACAGCTCAACTGATGTCTCATGGATCACAATGTTTTAAATAATGCCAAATAATGACACTATAACAACTGACAATAACATATAAAGTACAGGTGTGACATGAAATTTGTATTGTTTTGATAATGAGACTAGGCTTACTCTTTGTTTGGGCTTTGCCCTTTTAATAACCGAGATGAATATCTAATGTTATCAGGCCTTCTAAACATAGATATTAATTCAAACCGGGTATAAAGGTACTCCTGTTGTTAGTGAGGTCTCTGTGGCACTTTCACCTTTGGTCGACTTCTAATTTTGAGCCTTTGAGGTAGTGCATGTCACAAAAAAACCACGAGGAGTCCTCTCTGTTTTGTTTACAATTTGTGTCTCGGCTGCTCCTTCTCGGAGCAGTCTCCCCCAAGGTTTTTTTTCCAAATTCTTTGTCTTATTGACTTAGGGAGGTAGACTATACTTTTATTTATAATTATATTAGATCCAGTCATAGTGAATACTTTTTTATTAATTTTAATAACTAGACTTTTGTTTACAGGATACTTGTGGATCTTAAATGTTTGTTGTGACGGGACGTTACAGAATCTCCCATTCTCTTTTCTTTTAATGTCTAACTAATGTAAAGTAACATCTTATGATGGTTACAAGTTAGTATATTAGTATGTTATGTGTCAGATTTTCGACATACCCTTATGTTAGTCTGTCTTAAAGTGTAGGAATTTTGTTTCTGCACTCGTCAGTTTATGCTTCCTTGGTTTCTCTATAACAATTTCCAAATACCTTGGCCCATTCAGTTGTCTGGACTAGGTTTCCAGTTTAATGTTTTGTCAACACAAATTTTTATAGACTTTGTGGTTGATGTTCAAGGTTCATCTTTGTGGAGATGTGCTGATTTTGACTTTTCTCGATGTATGTTCGGTTTGGGGTCTTTGATTTCAGTGTGTCTTCTGGCCAAGGTTCTGTTGTCAGATGCTACCAAACATGGCTTCCTATGCAAGTTTTGGAATTTCCTATTCCTTTTTTGTTTAATCCCTACTTTTGGACAGAGTTGACATTGATTTGGGATTCCAAGAGAACAGTTCTTTTGTACTCTCCAATGATGTCTTTTAAGTTATTTAAGGACACTTCTTTTTTGGGACTGGAGTTTTGTCCCTAGTTGTTGCCTTCCCAGTTAGGGATGTATTTGCACATCCCTAATTAGTTGCAATACATGCATAGTTTGGTGCAATGGCATAGAAGCTGTTCCCCCTTGTTTGCACTTCTGTGCACTTATCTATTTTTTCTGCTGGCTTGCTTTCCTGTGGGTTTGTTTGCAGAAAGCAGGCCTTACTCATTCCCCTTCTCTTGAAAGGACATCGGCGCTCCTGGTTTGTCAGGTTTTTGTCTTGGCAGTCCAGATCCACAGGGTAATGACCTTTCTTATGATTGAGCTCTTTTACTGCAGGTAGGTTATACAGGAATTTTTCCCATGGTTTGTGTTACATCTGGTAGGCCACAGATGCATCATTTTGTCTTGACATGGAGTCGCCAGTTTCTAGTAGTTATGGGTCCATTTTGAACTGCATGGGGAATTTGGGGGGGACACTTCACCTGGGGCTTGTTCCAGTGGTTCATTCTGTACCTTCCAGATAAGATTTGTCTTATCATTCTCCTGCCTTCTTTGTGAGCAGTTCACATCTGTTTCCCAGCCCTTCTCACACATTTGTTCCAACAAGGTTTTTTTTTCTTTTTAACTCTCTCTTTAGGGGTCTGTATCTACTAACTTCTCTTGTTGTCTCAGTGTTGTCTTTGGCCAAGTTCTTCATTATTGTTGCCTTTTTGTCATCCAAGTTTGGGCCTTCTGTCCTCAAACTGTGAGAATTTTTAGTCAGAGTTGTTGCTCATCTTCATTTTTGAGTACTGTAATGCCTTTCACTATAGCCATTGGGTTTCTAGTTACCATCTGCTTGGGTGTTGTCAGGCAGTCATATGATGCCCTCCATTATTGTAGGGCTTGTTCTTTTGTTGTGGTATTTCAAGTTTGTTAGTTACAGGTGCCTCTTCCTTTGCCATGAATGACTACTTCTTTTCTAAGAGCTCAAATCTGTGGCTTGGTTATTCTTATTTATCCAGTAGCTGTCATTTGCAGATTCTGTGTGTGAGTCAAGCTTCCAGTGTAATAGCTCCTGTTCTTTTACCCTTAGTCCCTCCCACCTTCTGTGTTCCTTTCCTTGGTTTGTCTTCAGCAGTGGCCAATCGGCTTCATAACCTCTCAATTTACTGCACTGGCAGCTTTTCTTTTTAATGTGTGTACAGTTGTGTTCTGTCCTGAGGTTTCTAGTGCTGCTTTACACTCAAGCAGTTGGATGTATCTTGTCTGTCTCTGCTTTTGAGGTGCCATGGAAAAAATGATCTGGGGAGTTACTGAAGGCTACACCAAAAATATAGTAATCAAGAATGGGACAACTAAATGCCCCGTTTCTGGGGCTCCCCTATTCCCTGCAGGTCCAGAGATTTGATTGGGCTCGAGAGTGGAGGGATGAGCAGTGCCAAACATTGGTGATTTATTGGTGCCATCTGGTGATGGGAAAGTTGAGTTGTTGTAACCCTCTTGTTGTAAAAGAGCCTATTGACCTCGGGGTACCATCAGTGCATAAGTTCTGGAAAGTCACTGGGGACCCAAGAACAGGGGGAATTCATTAACTTGATGCTTTATTAAATATTTACCATAAATTATACTGCATAAAGTACACTGATTGTATGAAAGAAGTTAGTGTAAAATTTTTTTTTTTTTGTTCAACATGGTTAAATCATAGATTCTTGAAAGTTTGTTTATGAGGCAAGTCATTAACACCAAAAATGTCTTTATTCTCCAAACATGGCCATAAAAAATGCTTTCTTTTCATATTGGATTTTTATAGTTTAGGCCCTAGAACTTATTTAATTCAAAAGATCTTTTAAAGAAATGTATACATGGATTAGCATGACGTGTCTAGAAACGTACGTTGGCACAATAACCATGCACTGCTTTCCTGTCCAATACTATATTATGATGCAATATTGGAGATGCGGTAATTGGAAGATGTAATTTTGGCAGTGATTTGTTTTTCCATGACCAATTACTGAAGAAGTCTAATCTGCCTTCAATTGTTATGTACCTGCAATTAAATTTAATCCCTAAGCTGTGGCTATTTTGTTTACTCCCACACACAACATTTTAAAATTAAATAATCATATTTACCTGACCCAACTGAGGGACAGGAAGCCTGTGTCTTTTTTCTGTCTGGATTTCAAACTTAAGTAAGGTCTTAGCATTTACAGCTATGGAAGGCAGGCAGTTCCATTGATTTATAACCCCTACTAGGAGGGGCACCCATCAGTGACTGGGATACTTCTAAACAACATGCTATGTATCCTCACAAACCCATTGTATTTTCTTGTATATATATATATAATAAAAGTTATAATAAATAAAATAAAAAAATAAACATGTACTCCGTAACCCCCCACATGTACTCTGTAACCCCCCACATGTACTCTGTAACCCCCCACATGTACTCTGTAACCCCCACATGTACTCTGTACCCGCACATGTACTCTGCACCACCACAGGTACTCTGCACCACAACCTCAAAGAGCCGATGGGTATTGGGTAATATGTATGTGAAAAATTAATTAATAATTACCAAAGCAGTCAATTTATTATACAGCTTGTGCATCCTGGGAATGGTCAGTAATTCGATCTTGTTGAGCACAGGATGGCACGGAGACCATATGGAACTGAGCACAGAGGATGGCACGGAGACCTTGTGGGACTGAGCACAGAGGACGGCACGGAGACCTTGTGGGACTGAGCACAGGGATCTTGTGGGACTGAGCACAGAGGACAGCACAGAGACCTTCTAGAACACAGAAGACGGCACGGAGACCTTGTGGAACTGAGCACAGAGGATGGCACGGAGACCTTGTGGGACTGAGCACAGATCTTGTGGAACTGAGCACAGAGGATGGCACGGAGACCTTGTGGGACAGAGGACGGCACGGAGACCTTGTGGGACTGAGCACAGATCTTGTGGAACTGAGCACAGAGGATGGCACGGAGACCTTGTGGGACTGAGCACAGAGGACAGCACGGAGACCTTGTGGGACTGAGCACAGAGGACGGCACAGAGACCTTCTGGAACACAGAAGATGGCACGGAGACCTTAAGGGACTGAGCACAGAGGATGGTACGGAGATCTTGTGGGACTGAGCACAGGACAGTATGGAGACCTTGTGGGACTGAGTAAGGGACGGCACGGAGACCTTGTGGGACTGAGCACAGGACGGCACAGAGACCTTGTGGGACTGAGCAGAGACCTTGTGAGACTGAGCACAGAGGATGGCTCGGAGACCTTGAGGGACTGAGCACTGAGGACAGCATGGAGAACTTGTGGGACTGGGCACAGAGTGCTCCAAATTTAGCTAAATCATTTGTTCGTAAGGATGCAATTGATTACCATCTCTGGTTGCTTCTGAGCAGCCTGAGGGCAGAAATATTCCAAAAATAAAAAAATAAAATAATTTAGTTGACTTGAGTCATAAGTTAAATAATTAATAATAATTACTATTATTCAAATTACAGTATTAATATCACTTATGGTATACATAGCTACCACCTATGGCTCGTTATTTTATTAGTTTTTATTATTTTAAGGTTTAATAATTAAGATTGTAGTGAATTCGTCAGCGAAGATGATAGCTGTTGACGAATAAATACTCTATTTACTAAAATAGTTAACTCTTTCCTGAAAATAGTTACACAAAAGTTATAATACGTCTCCATTCTGTGTCAACTAATGTTTCATCTCATTTTTGTATTATTATTATTATTAATAAGCTTAGGTATACATAGCAATGTGCTGCTACCCTATTCTACATGAAAGATTACACAGTGTACATAAAAAACTAGCTATAAGTTGTTGACCAGACCACACACTAGAAGGTGAAGGGACGACGACGTTTTGGTCCATCCTGGAGCATTCTCAAGTCGATTGTGATGAGGAATGTTATTGTTGTTTCAGCTGTTGTTTCAATGTTGTTGTTGATTCAACTACTCGGAACAAGTGGGGGGGTCCACTACCACCTGCAGGATGGGTGTGGGGGGTTCACTACGACCCACAGGATGGGTGTGGGGTCCTCTACCACCCACAGCATGGGTGTGGGGGTCCACTACCTTTCGTAGGATGGGTGTGGGGTCCACTCCCACCCGAAGGATAGGTGTGGGGGTCCACTACCACCCTCAGGAACCTGGTAGTGGGGGTCCACTACCACCCTCAGGATGTGAAGTAGGTTCCTCTACCACCCACAGGATGAATGTGCGGTCCTCTAACACCTACAGGATGGGTATGGGGTTCCACTACCACCCACAGGTTGGGTGGGGTCCTCTACGACACGCAGGATGGGTGTGGGGGGGGTCTCCTGCCGCCCACAGGATGGGTGTGGGGTCCCCTACCACCCGCAGGATGGGTGTGGGGGTCCACTACCACCCACAGGATGGGTGTGGGGGGTTCACTACCACCCACAGGATGGGTGTGGGGGTTCACTACCACCCACAGGATGGGTGTAGGGGGTTCACTACCACCCGCAAGATGGGTGTGGGGTCCTCTACCATTCGTAGGAGGGGTGTGGGGTCCTCTACCACCCGCAGGATGGGTGTGGGGGGTTCACTACCACCCACAGGATGGGTGTGGGGTCCCCTACCACCCACAGCATGGGTGTGGGGGTCCACTACCATTCGTAGACTGGGTGTGGGGTCCTCTACCACCCGCAGGATGGGTGTGGGGGTCTACTACCACCCCCAGGATGGGTGTGGGATCCTCTACCACCCGCAGGATGAATGTGGGGGTCCTCCACCACCCGCAGAATGGGTGTGGGGTCCACTACCACTCGAAGGATAGGTGTGGGGGCCCACTACCACCCGCAGGATGTGAAGTAGGTTCCCCTACCACCCACAGGATGGAAGTGCAGTCCTCTACCACCCACAGGATGGGTGTGGGGGTCCACTACCATTCACAGGATGGGTGTGGGGTCCACTACAACCTACAGGATGGGAGTGGGGTCCACTACAACCCGCAGGATGGGAGTGGGGTCCACTACAACCCGCAGGATGGGAGTGGGGTCCACTACAACCCGCAGGATGGGAGTGGGGTCCACTACCACCAGCAGGATGGGTGTAGGGGTCTCCTGCCGCCCACAGGATGGGTATGGGTTTTCTACCACCCACAGGATGGGTGTGGGGGGTTCACTACCACCCGCAGGATGGTTGTTGGGTTCCACCACCACCCGCAGGATGGGTGTGGGGTCCTTCACCATTCGCAGGATGTGAACTAGGTTTCTCTACCATCCACAGGATGGGTGTGGGGGTCCAGTACCACCCGCAGGATGGGTGTGGGGGATCCTCCACCACCCGCAGGATGGGTGTGGATGTCCATTACCACCCACAGGATGGGTGTGGGGGTCTTCTACCACCCACAGGATGGGTGTGGGGTCATATTCCACCCATCCTCTGCACCCGCCGGATGGGTGTTGGGGTCCACTACCACCTGTAGAATGGGTGTGGGGATCCTCTACCACCCACAGGATGGGTGCGGGGTCCACTACTACACGCAGGATGGGTGTGGGGTCCTCTACCATCTGCAGGATGGGTCTGGGGTCCTCTACCACCCAGACTATGGGTGTGGGGGTCATCTACACCCCGCAGGATGGACGTAGGGGGGTCTCCTGCCGCCCACAGGATGGGTGTGGGTTTTCTACTACCCGCAGGATTAGTGTGGGGTCCTCTACCATCCGCAGGAGAGGTGTGGGGTCCTCTACCATCCGCAGGAGAGGTCTGGGGTCCTCTACCACCCAGAGGATGGGTGTGGGGGTCCACCACCACACGCTGGATGGGTGTAGGTTTCTTTACCACCCGCAGGATGGGTGCGGGGTCTACCACCACCCGCAGGATGTGAACCTGGGTCCTCTACCACCCACAGGAGGGGTGGGGTCCTCTACGACACACAGGATGGGTGTGGGGTCCCCTACCACCCGCAGGATGGGTGTGGGAGGGTCTCCTGCCGCCCACAGGAGGGGTGGGGTGCACCCCCACACCCACAGGATGGGTGTGGGGGGTTCACTACCACCCACAGGATGGGGTGTGGGGGGGTTCACTACCACCCACAGGATGTGTGTGGGGGGTCCACTAACACCCGCAAGATGGGTGTGGGGGGGGTTAACTATCACCCACAGGATGGGTGTGGGGTCCTCTACCACCCACAGCATGGGTGTGGGGGTTCACTACCATTCATAGGATGGGTGTGGGGTCCTCTACCATCCGCAGGATGGGTGTGGGGGTCTACTACCACCCACAGGATGGGTGTGGGATCCTCTACCACCTGCAGGATGAATGTGGGGGTCCACCACCACCCGCAGAATGGGTGTGGGGTCCACTACCACTCGAAGGATAGGTGTGGGGGTCCACTACCACCCGCAGGATGTGAAGTAGGTTCCCCTACCACCCACAGGATGGATGTGGGGATCCCTCTACCACCGACAGGATGGGTATGGGGTTCACTACCACCCATTACAGGTTGGGTGTAATGGTCCACTACCATCCACAGAATGGGTGTGGGGGTCCAATACTACCCGCAGGATGGGAGTGGGATCCTCTACCACCCACAGGATGGGTGTGGGGTCCTCTACCACCCACAGGATGGGTGTGGGGGTCTTCTACCACCCACAGGATGGGTGTGGGGGTCTTCTACCACCCACTAGATGGGTGTGGGGGTCCACTACCACCCGCAGGATGGGTGTGGAGGTCAACTACCACCCGCAGGATGGGTGTGGGGTCCTCTACCACCCACAGGACGGGTGTGGGGTCCACTACTACCCGCAGGATGGGTGTGGGGTCCTCTACCACCAGCAGGATGTGTCTGGGGTCCTCTACCACCCAGAGGATGGGTGTGGGGGGTCATCTACACCCTGCAGGATGGGTGTGGGGGTCTCCTGCCGCCCACAGGATGGGTGTGGGGGTCTCCTGCCGCCCACAGGATGGGTGTGGGGGTCCCCTGCCGCTTACAGAATGGGTGTGGGGTCCCTTACCCCCCACAGGATGGGTGTGGGGATGCCCTACCACCCACAGAATGGGTCTGGGGTCCTCTA